AAATATATAAGCTTGAGCCCTTGGGGTTTCAGGATATTTCTTAAAGATTTTACTATTTCCGTACATACAAGGACCCCCCCCCCCCAACCCCCGGGTATGTTTTTGAAGTTTCGACCCTACAGATATAATTTGAACACGATTTGTATAAGACCTCAGCAAATCATGTTTTATACCACATACTAAAGCTCTTGGTCATGTACTTTCAGATAAGAAGATTGTTTTTAAATTTGCATTTTCAAAACATGTGAGGTAATTAAAAGCTGCATTGGCAATTGTGAAAATCTTTCTAATTCGTCTTCTTGACCAATATGACCACTTCCTTGACGCAAAGAAATAGGACCACCGGAGATATTAATCGAATAATGAAAGACATCAGGCAATGAACATGTTTTAGCACTAGTATCCTCGACCTTAGTGTCCCCTTACTCCTCACAACGTAAGTACTACCCAAGGTATCAAAATATCAGTCAACAAACAAAATCTGTATGACAACAGAATACTTTAAGCACTAGTGACCTTGACTCATGTGACCCCTTACTAAAGCTAAAGTTAGAAAAACATAACAATTATGTACCTACCAAAAATGAACGATAAAGACTAGATAATCATGAGTGTAAAGTAAAATTAAGTTTAATAAAGGGAGGTAATTAAAGATTTTAAACATAGTAGAATTTTTAACTTGTGGACAATGTACTTGCCCTCTCCGTTGTCTATTGCTGTGAAAATTCATCCAATACTTTTCAATTTATATTTTTCCAAAGGCAAGCAGTATGTATCATAAAGGGACATAATTTTATGGTTCTTCAATATTGAATTCCTCAGAAATAATCCCTTTAACTATGTATGGGTTTTAATCAAATTTCTTCAGCAATTTTCAAATTAGGAAGATAATTCAGAAACTAAGTAATGTAAAATTATTGTTCTTTAACACTTCATTTCCACTTACTAGTCTTTTCAAATGAACAAGTTTGAATGAAATACCATAGGTAGCTTTATGGGGATATTTTTTAAGTTAAAAATGGGCATAATTATATAATAGTTATGAAACTTGGCATGTGTTTTAGTTTCAAGTTAATACCTTTACCAGTTTCTGATATTGAACAGGATGTGACAGGACGGGACAGGAGGAGATAAAGTGATTTCTATAAATCCCCACACTCTGCAACCAAACACAATTGAAAATAAGTACTAGTATGCTGGCATAGTTTTATTACAGAATATATAATGTCTTTTTAAAATTAAAACACTGATTAATATTTACAATTTCACAGCATATAACAGTTTTATAAATCAACAATATTTCAACAACACTGTTATAGCTTAGTTGTCATGGAAAAGTACTACACTTGTCATGGAGCTAAAGGCTTGTACATGTATATACATCTTTTCACCTGCTAAGATATATTTCAATATTCTGATTATAAAACAAGAGCTGTTGGTAGGACAGCATGCTCGACTATTCTAAGTGCTTGATAATGAAAGGGCCTTGATAATGTTAAATTTTCTAAGTTCACAAAAGGGCTAATTTTTTTTTTATAAATTCATGTTATAGGCCTTAGAGAGAGTCTAATTATACAGTATTGGCTTGACTATTCAGTAGGTTGTTACAAGGGTGTTTTATTGAGTATAATTATATTAATTAACTATGAATACATAAAATTGACAGAAAAGGTACAAAGGCTTGTTTTTAAGATGTTTTATCAAGTAAATCACTGCTTTATTATTATGAATGCATAAAATTGTCCCAAAAAAGGCACAAACCCTTCAGTAGTTATGGAGATAACAGCTTACAAGCAAAACTTTACCATGAATTTCTATATTGAAAAAGGGGAGAAATATCACCCTAAATGCAAGATAGAATTATGGATCTTTGTCAGTGACCTACAACTATGGCCCTAAATGCATATGTGAAGTTTTAAATAAATATCTTTAATAGTTATTGAGATATGTAAAACTTGCATGTAAACATTAACCAAGAGACTTAAAGTAGAAACGGGGATATGAATTAGCCTTAATGCAAGATAGAGTTATGGAACTTGGTCAGTGACATACAATAAAAACCCTCCAATTATGACCCTAAGTGCTTGTGTAAAGTTTCAAGTAAATATCTTTAAAGACCTTTAACCAAAATTTCTAAGTTTCAAAGGGGCAAATAATTCTGCAAATATTGTAGGCAGAGTTATGCAATTTTGCAAACTGATGAACAGTGTTACTATAAAAAAAAGTATTTTAAATTTCAATTGAATATCTCAAGCAATAATTGAGATATTTGACTTTAGAAAAAAAAGGGACATAACTCTGTCAATATTGTAGGCAGAGTTATCCAACATGTTAATCTGATGTACCTTGTTACTATAAATAAGTATTGTAAGTTTCATAATTGAATATCTCAACCATTAATTGAGATATTTGACTTTACAAAAAACTTTAACCTACGCAGATGCCGACGAGGACGCCGACGCCGGGGCGACTACAATAGCTCTCATATTCTTAACATAGTCGAGCTAATAAGAGTCAATGGTGAAAAACAGATACCTTCATACACACACACCAAAAAACTCAAACACCCACAAACTCACATTTGGCACAAGCTTACAACAAGCTGCATTGCCATTTTTCTTCAATATAAAATACTTTTACTATTTTCAATCTAACTAATTATCAATAAATATTTTCATATTATATCATCATACACAAGCAGTGTATGTTAAAAATTATAAAAGAAACCTTTACAATATTGTACTTTGCACAAGTCTGAACACTGTTTCATTTCATAGAATTTTCATTTTCTTCCCTATTTTTTTTTAAAGCAGCATGCCTCCAGATTCATGATAATTTTCATGTAAATTTTGAAAATGTGTTCAAAAGAAAATTATTGTGAAGTGGACAAAAAAAGTAATTTACACACTGCAATAACCACTTACAGTCTACGTAAAATTACAAAAAACGGGTCAAAATATGCAAAAATAGCCCTTACTGCAATAGTCACATAAAATTAATTAACATTTCTATCATAAAGGCCATTAAGATTTTCCATCATAAAGGCCATTAAGATGAACTGCAAGTGTTTCAAAACTGTAATATTTTTTAACAATATTACTACATGTACCACCAAGCTGTAAATTACAAAAACATATTCTTCCTTATTCAAAAGAATTCAAAACAATCCACCCAGTAATAAAATGAGCCGCGTCATGACAAAACTAACATAATGGGTCTGCAACCAGCATGGATCCAGACCAGCCTGTGCATCCAAGCAGTCTGATCAGGATCCATGCTGTTTGCTTACAAACCCTATTACAAGTAGAGAAACTGATAGCGAACAGCATGGATTCTGATCAGACTGCGCTAATGCGAATTTCAAAGTCCTTCTTTTTTGCCCGATTTTAGTGAAAAGTGTTACAAGACTTTTCAATTTTAGGTCATTTTCAAAAGTAAAATAATCATTCTAGAAAATCAGAGAGAGCGAATGATGTAAAAATTTGCACACAAGTTATAAATCAAGACCTACATCAAATGGCACATTAATATTTAATATTAAAGTTTTTTTCCCAGTCCAAACATGTCAAAAACCTTCAGTGGAGTTCCATTAAAATTGCACAAGTAACTAAAACAGTAATGGTTTATTCTGGCTGCATGAATGTGAAATCTGGTTTGCACTAGTGACCTAAACCTGTATATTGTTGTTTCTTCTATCTTCAAAATGTTCTGGTATTATTTAATGCATGTTATGAAAATGAAATGGGACAATTTTTTTTTGTACAAACAACTTGTTGCATTATATTTTTATTGTTAATCAGAAATGCTGTCAGCAGTTGATATATTTCTTCTCTTTTTTCTGTTAGAATAATTATAATAATATCTATAACTCATCTGACAATATCAAGTTTAAAACGTTTTTACATGGTATGAAGCCTGTGATATGTAACAGACATTGTTCAGATACCCTGATATGTAGTTATTAATAAATCATTAAACCATTCATAGATATTAATATTCTAGCTATGTTGTACTGTATTGATAACACTACATTATACACAACCTGTGAGGAATAACACAACCTGTGAAGAATAACACAACCTGTAAGGAATAATGCCTGAGAAAAAAGATACTCATTGATATCAAGTAAATTTCCAACAATGAGAAAAATATACAAAAATTAGTCTCTTTAAAATATCAATCTACAAATGTACCTGTATTTGATGCATATGAACACATTTAAGTCACCCTACAAAATGTTACAATGTTTTTAAATCAAAAAGTTTTAATCAATCAAAATTAAGGGAAAAGAATACCAGATCAAAAAAATGTAACAAAAAATATCCTGAACATAGTATTGATATTAATATGTTATCAACGTTTTTCACTGCAAAAAGTTCAGTTCAATTAACGTAAAACAACAAGCACTATGAGATACAAAGCAAATCATGTACATGACATTACAAGTGAGTATTCTTAAACTTAAATATCAACAAGACAATGTGAACAAATAAAGAGTATTCCATTAACAATATAAAGTACAATTTATCAAAACTCCAAATCAATATGCAACATTTTCAAATAAAAAAAATCAACCTTTTATTCACATGTACAAAGTAGTTCTTAACATCTTATTTAGCACTTTGTGTGATTGTTTGTGAAAACAATTACATATATATACAAGACGCTACTTAATTAATCAACTCTGACAGAATAAATGTAATGAGTTGATCAAAATTGAAGTATTTCCAATCTACTAAAAACTTGGCAGAAACATTAAGAAATGAGATTCTAAATAAAGAAAATACATTGCGTGTCTCAGATATAAAAAATAAAACCATCTGTTGGCCACATTCAATTTACCTTATTTGATGAATTATGCTGACTCTGAACAGATCTTGTACAAATGAATTAGTAAACCTTGTAGAAAACAACCAATCATGGAAATGTTTGCACTATATCCGTGCTTGTCAGGGAAACAATTTTTTATGAATAAAAAAAGCACAACTTGATATCAAAATTATTGCATTATGAATTACATGTATAACATTTAAGCAGACTTTACAAAACAACAATGAAAATCTCTTAACAATTAAACAAAACTTATCAAGCTACTACCTAAAGAAAATTGTTTCCACATTGCAAGATATATATGTGTATACAATACCAGTGACATTTACATGTATGACCATCATAATTCATATAATTACATGTAAGGTATACCCCATGAAAAATATTTTTTTGTAATGAAATACATATAGTGTATATTATATCTATATACAGAAACTTTGATTTGAATAAATATTTTATCATTAATATTTTTTGAAATTTTCTTTCCATGGAGAATTCTTTAAAATGCTTAAAACAGTTTTCATGTCAAATCAGTTGGTATGTACAAGTAATATACAGTGTTTTACAGTAGAGATTAATTAAAAGTAATTGGACATAAGGTCATTCACACAGTAGGTAATATTGGAGAAAATATTGATATTCTTCAGCACTCTAGATAATTACACTAATTATACATTGTCATCATAAACTTGTAAATTGATGACATCAGCACTTTCATGTGAGAACAAAATATGCCTCCAAATACTGGCAGAAATATGAAAGCTTGTAAATAACCCTGATGAAATATAACAGAAATAATTATTACTAGGCTTGTTCAATACCCTGATGAATATTTTAACACATTCCACCCGCACTGGTTGCAAGTATAGAAGAAGTCTGAGCAGAACATTCAAGTAAATCAATTTTTTAGCATGATCAAAGTTATTGTTAACCCCAAGGAATTATATCATAGACTAAATCTTCTTGTAAAGATCACTTTAACCTGCTGGAATTCAAATTAATCAGCCTTTATATTACCAGGCCAACCTGCACTTCCATAAAATCTGACCAGGCTCTATACTGTTGACTGACTATCTATAAGTGTTGCCAAAACTAATATTGGACAGTTCCAAAATCCAAGGAATTCCTGCTCAAAAACAGCAGTCACAGCTGTTTCCGCTGAACAGAGTTAGAGATGAGGGGTTACAAATGACGGTTCTTTCCTAAAAGCTTACTTACTTTGATACATTAACTAGAACAATCGTTAACATGTATTGAGTTAAATCAATATAAAACAAGAAAGCCACCTATGAACACATATAATATACAAATAATGGATTTATTTCTTAATAAAACATCAATACAAAACAAATGTTTGATTCATTTTTTCCAGTAATTTCAATATCACAAAACAGACATTTAGCTTCCAGCTGTGGAGACGGCAATTTACAAAATGTCAACAACTTTCTTCTCAGTCATGTTGATGATTTGTAATATTATTTGTTTAGATGAATAATATACTAAGTGTATACAACAAGGGTACTTATAAACAGTCTTGACTGGCTCAGTCCTTGAACCAGTGAGTTTTTCCTACATTTTACGGCCGAATAAAGGCTGTTTTCCCTATCTCAGAATAGATATATTTTTCCCTAAAAATGTTGTATTTTCCCCAGAAATGCATAGTACACATTCTTCACCAGAACCACTGACTAATATCAGCCATATGATAAATTTACTTGACTGAAAGACAGAAAAACGTCTCTATAGACTCTACTATGTACCATGAATTGAAATGAAATTGAAAAACTGATCAAATGTGTGGGTATATTTCTTTCTCCGTTGTACTTTGATTTCAGAGTTTAACTTTTTGTGATTTGTTGTGATTTATTTTCACCTTTATTAAGCCACAGGTTGTTTCGAAAATTAAAATAAAAGTCACTGGACTGACATTAGTGCCCTAAAGAAATAAATGAATCAAACAAATGCATTTGTTCAACAATTGCTATTAATTCAATACTCTGAATAATTGCTGACAGATTGATAAATAGTTTATAACAACATGAACACCAAAATGATAAAATAAAGACAACAAAATCAACAACATTACACCAGTCATATCACATTGTGTACATGTACACCCTACACTACAAATATCACATTTCTATATTTTGATATGTATCTCATTAAAAACAACTCAAATTTTCTGAAAATTTTCAGTGTATGAAATGTATATAAATTCTGTTGAGTATTTTCTTTTTATTTAAATTCTAAACTGACAAATTAACAAACTGTGTTCCATTATGGGCTATTTTTTTATGATATTTTTTTACTTAAATAAAAAAACATGTATGTCAAATAAATTGGAAGTGAAACATCAATTTAATTTTGTTATTTTTTAAATATTACAACACTGTGTAGAGATAGTCTAAACAGGGATTATATTGCAGTTTATTTAAATATCAACATATACCCTGCAACATATGGACATAAAATAACTCATTTCAATAAATTTTCGAATTGCGTAAATTGCACATTAGTACACAAGTGAGCTAAATTTCATTTATCTTACCAATTCTACAAACCTAGCATAATTATAAAATTTCAATTTCTTTCATAAGTGCAATTATCATGATTTTTTTTTCTTAAACATATTACTGACATTAAAGATAAGACATGATGTGTTTTAAATTCTCATCAATTAACTTTAAGGCTTAAAATACATTTCTGACTTCAAATGAAGCTAGTATGTCAGTATTTTAAAAGTAACATCTCCCTTTTAAATTGTGAACCCAAATTTTACTAAGCTTAAATTATCTTTTATGCTACATTACAAAAATGGCGCCACTAAAAATGGCGTGGGAATAGTGATACACCAGAATAGAGTACTGGTGGATAAAAACATTTGTATTTCAGGGACATCAGTAACAATTTAATACTTGAAAACACAGAAGGAGTACATTGTGATATTAAAATGTTTGGATTCGAAGATCAAACGCTCGTTGATATTAAGACTAACTCAGATCAAGAGTTGCGGGGGTATCAGTACTGCTGCTTGCTTGTGTATTGTCCATCGTAACATACATATGCTCATTGTCTTGCTCCTCATTTAGTTTCCCGTAACCAAATGAACCATTCTCATTCTCCCCTGGTAACCCAGTTACCTGAAAAATTGAAAAGTTAATCAACTTAGAAATTGTCATTTACTATATTAATCAGGACATAGTTATAAACATTAATATTAACATGTTTGTAATGTTTGTAAAAGAGTTAAGTAACTTAATTGTAACAGTTTTCTATACATTTATCTAACAGACAAATATCTCAACAGAATTTATTGTTTTTTACACATACTTATAAAATATTACCAAAAAATGAACAACTTTTCTACATAAATTTGTCGTGGCTAACAAATGGCTTTTCCACAGATATATCAGAATAGAGAAACATATGCTGTAACTAAAAACCCAAAATCTGTATATAAAATACTCTCCTAACTGAATCAGGTAGAATGACATACAAAAAAAAAAATTAAATCATTGATAATTACTGTATAACACAGTAATTCAAGAAATCCATCCATGATTGTTTGATCTCATGTAATTTGAATGATTGTTTACAAAATAACTTTCTTTTGTAAGTAGTCCTTTCATACAATAAAGTTTAATACTTAATTTGATTGCTATAGCAAGAGATACATCCACTTAAATGTATCCAGTCTTTTCTTCTATTATGACAGACAGAGTAATAATATCTGTCCCGAGAGACCCGCCCATTGGGCGGTAATGAGGCTTGCCAAACATGCCATTATACAACATACGACTCATCTTGCACCCCCATGCCAGATGAAATTTCCAGCACGGGTAAAACTTATGGAAAGATCCATTATAGAAATATAGCAGGTCAAGGGTTAAATACTTTTTGTATGAATTCAATAATCATACGAGACATTTTGAACAAAAGTTTAATTCATCAAAATGATTCATGCTTTTGCTTCAAAAAAAACAATAATTTGCAAGTGAAATATTTCACCAAACCTACCCTTTGTCCACTTGCATAATGAGGATTTTCAAAGGCCACTGTCTGGTTCTGAGTAGGTTTCCCTTGAGCCATCCTCCTGTTGCCATGGAAAACAAGAAAAATAGAACAGTTTATATCAAGATTTAGCCTTAAAAAATTAAAATCTAAGACAGCTGTAAATAAACAGTATGGGTTGTTGTTGATTAGCATTGGTGGAAAGTTATTAAATGCAATGATTAATTCAATCTCCTTCAATTGGCAAATGACATTAAATAACTTTCGTTTGATAGCTTTTTGTTTTTAATTATAATAACATATGAATCACATTACAACCCAGAAAATTGCATTGTTAGATAAGGGTTTTAATTACAGGAACTCCAATGAGGTCAAAAAGCCTAAAACATAAAATTTGAAGTTCTTAAAAGATCAAGTGAAGCACTTAAAATAATAAGATATGCAAAAAAACAGACATACATCAAATGGTAAACAAATCTATGAAAACTATTTCCAGACCTGTCACATCAATTTAATTGTTTTGTAAGGTTGATAAACAAACATAAACTATAAATGTGCCCATAGAACAATGACGCCCCAACATTTCTACTAATTTATCAGTCTATAGATAGGCAGAGTGACAGCATGACAAACAGACATGAGCAAATATTTGTGTCCTCTTCTAAAAGAGGGGCATGAAAAACAAGCCTGTTTATTTTGGGAAAGATTATTCCAATAAGTCAAAAACCTTTTATAACAAAGTTAAAGTGCATGTGAATCTCATCAATACAAAATGTATTTTCAAATTAATAAATGTAATTTAATGAGTGGCAAATATTTCTATTTTACATTTATAATGATAGTTGCTCCAGTATGCAACCATATGCTACATGGTACAAAAGTCAAGCATATATTGACACTACAATCCCATGTACTGTCAACAACTTACAAATATCCTAATACCTTTAGCATTTTAAAACTCTTCATTAACAAGTGTGACACATTAGGACCAAAACAATCGCTGTTTAATTACAAAGAGGATATTTGTTTGTTTTACATTTAAGAATGAATTACATCAGATGCAATATTTTCACAAGACTTTTTTAGTGGAAAGCCACAAGTGAAAACAGAATAGCTGGTGTTCACAAATGAAATATATTTCAATCTTATATGTAAACTAAAACAAACTAGAACTATCGCTGAATGCGATTCATACCCCCACCAATGTCCTTGACAGAAGACAACTTGGAAAGGTGGTTAAGGGAATAACTGAAGTGACACAAATACATAAAAAGAAATTATCTCTGGTGAAAAAAAGACTAATTGTACAGGTAATAGTAAAAATATCTATTATCAAATTATGTTCGAAACAGTTACAAATAACCTTTCATTTTCCCAATATACTTAACTTTTTATAAGTCAATTTTTGACCTTCAAGTGTGGCCTTGACCTTCAGCTGGCACAAGGGTAAGATGGGTTCTGCACATCGCCCAATTGGAGTGAACATTTGAGTAAAGTTTGAAGAAAATCCTTCCATTAGTATAGAATTTATAGAGTTGACACAACATATTGTCTAGTATTGATTGTATGTAAATTTAAAGACTTAAAAAGGGGCATAACTTTGTCAAAATCCAATACAGAGTTATGAAACTTGACCTGCATATTGTAATTGTGACACCTCATATATCTTTTAAGTTTCAAGCAAATACCTATGCTAGTTTCCGAAATATTCAAGAACATGTTTTAATCTAAGAACATTTTCTAAGTCAATTTTTGACCTTCAAGTCTGACCTTGACCTTTAGTCTGCACAAAGGTGACATGGATTCTGCACATAACCTTGTTAAGGTGAACATTTGAGAAAAGTTTGAAGAAAATTCTTCCATTAGTATAGGATTTATAGAGCGGACACAACATATTGTCTAATATGTGATTGTATGTAAATTTGAAGGTTAAAAAGGGGCATAACTTTGTTAAAATGCAATACAGAGTTATGAAACTTGACCAGCATATCTTAATTGTGACACTTCATTTATATTTTAAGTTTCAAGCAAATACCTTTCCTAGAATCAGAAATATTCAGATATATGTTAAAATTAAAGAACATTTTCTAAGTCAATTTTTGACTTTCAAGTGTGACCTTGACCCTAAGCCGGCAAAAGAGTGACATGGGTTCTGCACATAACCTTGTTGAGGTGAACATTTGAGCCAAGTTTGAAGAAAATCTTTCCATAAGTGTAGGACTTACAGAGCGGACACGACATACTGTGTAATATTTGATTGTTTGATATTTGACCTTCAATTGTGACCTTGACCTTGAGCTGACACATGGGCAACATGGGTTCTGCACATCCCATTGTTGAAATGAACATTTGAGTCAAGTTTGAAGAAAATCTTTCAATTAGTGTAGGACTTACAGAGCGGACACGACATATTGTGTAATATTTGATTGTTTGATATTTGACCTTCAATTGTGACCTTGACCTTAAAATGACACATGGGCAACATGAGTTCTGCACATCCCCTTGTTGAGGTGAACATTTTAGCCAAGTTTGAAGAAAATCTTTCAATTATTGTAGGACCTACAGAGCGGACACGACATACTGTCTAATATATGATTGTGTTTGATATTTGACCTTCAATTGTGACCTTGACCTTGAGCTGACACATGGGCAACATGGGTTCTGCACATTCCCTTGCTGAGGTGAACATTTGAGCCAAGTTTGAAGAAAATCCTTCAAGTGGTATAGGAGTTATAGAGCGGACACGAAAATGGAGACGGACGGACCGACCGACCGACGCGACAAAGGGAATCCATCATAGCCCCCCCCACATTTTGTGGTGGGGGTATAATAAATTTCCTTTTTATTTCATGCTATTTAAGTGATTTTAAGTGTTTTTTACTGATTCTGACGTGTAACGTCGCACATTCCCCTTTATGAAATCATCACATCATGACGTCTCATCATCAATTTTGAAATATAGTTCTGTTAAATTTCTCTAATTACATGATGTATGATGACATCAACTTTCTATTCCTAAAGAAGCAAAATGGATGCGTGACAGCATTAATTTTTGCCTGTTATTCCATTTCGTTATGAAATTCTTTTCATCCGCATTCAGATATAGTCCGACTACAGTGAAAATTATATTTTATAAATTTCACTAGTGGTTTATCAGAATACAATCATCTGGTATATTACAGTAAAAAACTGAAAAGCATGAAATAAAAAATAATAATTTTCTATTACATTTTTGGCTTATTTCATTTTTGTTGAATAAGAAAATGTATAAAGAAAGCAAAAGCCTTGAGAAAAAACACACTAGCAATATTATCCATTATGCTGAATTTATAATGTTTGTTTTATTATGTTCAGTAATTTATCAATAAACACCCAACTTTTTTATCCTTGATGCTATGCAAACTTTAATGACTTATATTTCACGAACTCACCTGAAAAGTATTATGGCTACAATAGCTATTGCCACTAAGAAGATCAAGCCTAGAATGACACCAACCACTATACCAACTGTTTCCTGAGTCTGAGGCTGTGGTTTTACTGTAGCTATTTCTGGCTTAGCCTCATCTGTAAATACAATGGAAACAAAAATAATTTGAGCCGTGTCACGACAAAACCAACATAGTGGGTTTGCAACCAGCATGGATCCAGAACAGCCTGCTGTTCGCTAGCAGTTTCTTTACTTGTTATAGGGTCTGTAAGCGAACAGTATGGATCCTGATCAGACTGCGCGGATGCGTAGGCTGGTCTTGATCCATGCTGGTCGCAAACCCATTATGTTAGTTTTGTCATGACTCAGCATATTATACTCAAAATCAAGCTTTATTTCCACTTACATTACACTTGTGCTGCATAGAATTAAGTAAAAGTGTCAAATATTCTGAGAGATTTCATGACCAAAATACTAGAGTCAAGATGTTAGCAGTAAAACGCTAGCCATATAGGCCTAGTCCTGTTGTATAGACAATTTTCTGAAAACTAAGTGTAAATGTTATGATCTTTACCTTTCAGGCCTTATTAGAAACTAAAATAAACATTTCAATGCAAGAATATTTTTTGGCGAAAATAATACTAGATAAAATTGATTATTTTTCTCTTTTTGATGCATGAATAACTTTAAAAATAGTCAACTAATTAAAAAGCTGAACTAACAGAAAAATTCTATACAAAGGTATGTCATTATAATAAAATATTTTCTTATTATTGGCAGTTTATTCTGTTAGCAGCTTTCTCAAAGGAATGATAGCACATAAAGTTTATCCTGATTTTTTAACATTTAAAAACAATTCACTTCTTAAACGAACATGTACAATAGTCTCATTCAGATGTAATCACAACTATTCCCTATTGAACATATAAGGACCAAAGTGTGTGTTATTATGCAATAAAATCAGTTCTATATTAAGACAAGTGACATAACCATTAAACATGTGATGTAACCATTAAAAATGCCATGGGCTGAAAATAAGTACGGAAACAAATCAGGCGCTATTAAACTTGATATAAGGTACAGCAGCATGTTTTTGTTAGAATAGAAATAATATATCCAAATGATTGATAAAATCACTGTTTGACGCTCGGATGTGCATCATTACTTCCCCACATCCAAACTCCAAACAGTGATTTTATTTAGCGATAAAATCACTGATTGGGATATATTATTTCTTAAATATCGTAAGTGTAAATTTACCAGTTGTTATGGATATAGTATTTGTTCTCTGACCCTCACCATCAGCACTGACAGCTGCCACAGATATAATGTACCTTGTATTGGCTTTTAGACCAACCAAACGAGTCTCAGTCTGTATAGGTCTGACCTGTTTAAATACCACAAATATAATGTAAAATCATTAACTTCAAAAGCAAATCTTTGATTAAATAACCCTTGTACCCCACTGTAATAAAAATCTGAACTGAAATATCTTACAATTTCATGATCATAAAAAAGCAGGAATAAAACTATGAGTATTTAAAACACATGCAATATAAATGCTTGCAATAATTTGCACTTACAATCAATTCCTTTCCTCCCAAACTTTGATAATGCAAGGCATAGCCTGTTATCTTGAGTTTCGTTTTTGGTGCTGTCCATTTTATTTCAATCATGTTGCTTGTTAATAGATTGCCTTGAAGGTTGCTTGGTGCTGGTGGTACCAATCCTGTAATATAATTATGTATCATGACATTAGCTGATATATATAATTTTAAAGAGCTTGATCCTTCACCTGCAAAATTTGTAATGGATTTTCCCTGCTTTGCATTAAGGACAGTCCTTTCAAAGTTTAAGGGGTTTCAAAATTAATTAGAGCTGTCAGTAAGACAGCCTGCTGGACTATTCTCAGTACTTGACAGAAATAAAAGGGCATAACTCTGTAAATAGGTAACTCAAATTATGGGACATGTGCTCATCATGTTAAATAATCAAAGAAAACAAGTGTGTAAAGTTTCAACCCATTCCCTTAAGTAGTTTTCCTGAAGGAAGATAGTCAGCAGTGAATAAGAAATATTAATGTTGGAAATCTTAATCTTGTACCATATGATGCTTCTTTGACTTAATGGATGAGTAATATAACCATTTAATAATAACAGTACACATTTTAAATATAAAATATCATGATTACAGTCAACAGTCAAAATCATATTACAAAATGGCTCGTCATATGATGTTTCAGCAGATTTTATTGTGGGCAGTACATTGAATAATATAATTGAGCGGCGTCATGACAAAACCAACATAATGCATTTGCGACCAGCATGGATTCAGACCAGCCTGCGCATCCGCGCAGTCTGATCAGGATCCATGCTGTTTGCTTACCAACCCTATTACAAGAAGAGAAACTGATTGCGAACAGCATGGATCCTGATCAGACTGCACGAATCTGCAGGCTGGTCTGGATCAATGCTGGTTGCAAGTGCACTATGTTGTTTTGTCATGATGCGGCTCAAATAATATATCATCCTGAAATAAGAGCTGACAGTAGGACAGCATACTTGACTATTCTCAATTTCTCAGTGTTTTGTAGTAAAACAAGAGCTTGGATATGTAGAATTCTGTCAAAATCTAAAAGTAATGGGTCTTGAGTAGTGACCTATTACTCGCTCAAAAAAGTGTGTGAAGATTCATCCCATTCCCTACCATAGCATTGGAGATACTAACTTGCAAACAAAACTTGTGACATCAATGCTTGGGCAAGTACAACAGCTCTCCCTATTCTTTTATTAATGTCATTTTAATTAGAATTACTTCAAACTTGTCCTAGAAATTTAACAAAGCTTGACACAATCTATCTTTTTTGTACCTTCTTTGACTTGTTTAATGCATAAGGGGCCATAATTTTTAGGCTTATTACCGGGACACTTTTCATTTGGAGGCGGACGTATTGTTTCTAAAATTTACATAGTGGCATACTACCTATATTACCGGTATTTACAACTTGCAAATATAATGACACCATAAACAAAACAAAATGTCAATAATTATTAACAGTTATTCTGTCTTTTTTTTTAAATAAATGTTTGTAAATTCAATCAGTCAAAGAATAAAACAAGCAATTATCATAGTATTGCAAGCAATCCATAAGTCCCCTACCGGTTAGAACCCCAGCAACATTCTGATGGGCCATTGGCCATTCAATTTTACCAGTGAATGAATGACATGAATGAACTTAATCTTTTGAGTTCTAAGTTTGTCTATATCACAGTAATTTGTTAAGTTTCCATGCCTAGTAAGGAAATTATGTTTATACAACCTTGTCATATTATTACGATGTGGGATTTTAAAGTAAATCCTATAAGGAATGAAGAAATTGGAGTGAAAAATACCAAGTTCAAGGGGGACATAATTCTGGAAATAGTCTTGCTAGAGTATTTAACCTTCTCAAAAATGTTGAGTGAAAATAAGAAACATATATATGAAGTTTGAAGTAGATACATTAGGAAATAAAGAAGTTATTTAAAAAGACAACATTTTTTTCATAAAAATTCTAAGTTCAAGGGAGGTAATACTGATAAGTTTTGTGCTAGAGTTGTAAACCTTGTCACATATGATGTGGTTGATGACCAGAAACTTATATTTAAAGTTTGAAGTAAACACCTTAAGAAATAAAGAACTTATAGTGAAAAAGCTAAAAAATTTAAATCAGAAATCTTGAAATTCAGGCTATTTGTTGCCATAGCAACCAGAATTTTCAACATAGGAATAAAAGAAAAATATGTGCATAATCTCCAGACTGCCATCTACCCATATTTCAAGTTTCATAAAAATATTCTCTGTATTTTTTGAGTTATCACTGGATCCAGTTTATGTGTTAAATTTGCGATATTTTCAGACTATTTGTTGCCATAGCAACAAGAATTTCCAACATAGGAAGAAACAAAAATAACGTGCATAATCTCCATACTGCCATCTATCCATATATCAAGTTTCATAAAAATATTTTAACTACTTTTTGAGTTATTGCGGGATCCAGTTTTGTGGACGGACAGAAGGACAGACGGACGGAGGGTTAACCTAAAGTCCCCTCCGGTTAAACCAGTAGGGGACTAATAAAGCTATATTTAGTAAGACATGTTGTTTCCTAGAAATACCTGAAACGTTCGCTGAATCATGTAGATTTCATGACCTCATTTTAAGCGGTAATTTTCAAAAGCCACAGGGGGTTAACAATTAATCTTTTAATTGATCAAAATTATTGCCGATACTTGTTTGTTGGGAGGGGCACATAGATTTACCAATCAAAGGATTAGTGTCAGCATTTACTGTATATTGCAATGCTGCATGGGGATAATCGTTCGTTATGTTATTAGCGTTCTAAAATAGTTAATAATAAATTGAGGATAAGGTTTTATAAAAATGTAAAATTTCTGACTGCAAAGTAGATTATTTTAAATTATTATTTTTAAAGGGACATAAATTATCTCCAGGACGCCTCCGGGACAGACGCCTTATTTCCGGGACTTTCCCTGGCGTCCAGGACGTTATGGCATGCATGTTTAATGGAATACTGCTTGAAAAGATAAGACCCTGTTTGTAATGTATTTACCACTTATAGTAATGTTTGTATGTTCAGACATTTGGCTGGATCCAAAATCATTGACTGCTTTCATCCAGATTATGTAAGTTTCTCCCTTCTTTATTAAATCAGACTGTAACATCTTTGACCGTGACTGTTTACTCTGAAAATAAGAATTTAAAATTTAACTTTTGACTGGAAAAAAGGATTTAATTGTCTATATGTAAAATGGGACAATAAATCAATTTAAAAGTAATCAAAACAGAAGTTTAGCAAAGTTTTTGTAACAAAACCCCACCTGGCCTTGTTATTTTTACTTTCTTTCTTTCTTTCTTTTTTCCTTTCTTTCTTTTCTTTCTTTTTTTCTTTCTTTCTTGCCTTTCTTTCTTTCTTTTTTTCTTTCTTTCTTTCTTCCTTTCTTTCTTTCTTTCCTTCCTTCCTTTCTTTTTTTTTCTTTCTTTCTGTCTTTCTTTCTTTTCTTTCCTTTCTTTCTTTCTTTCTTTTGTTTGTTTGTTTGTTAGTTTTTTTTTGATTACTTGAAATTAATCTAACAATTTTGGTAGTCAGTAACGTATAAGTCATTTCTACTATATCAAAATTTGACCAAAAAATTAAAAGATTGAACCTTTTTTTCTGGATACTCCGCAAGTGACTGACAACCTATCCAACATGATATCTGAATCAGCAGGGAGCCCATGTACTTGAAACAAACTATTTTTAATGTTCTATATGGGCTATATAATATAATAGTTTTATTATTATAGCACAAAACCCATAATAGAACGTTGAATATAGTTTGTTTCAAGTTCCTGTGGCAGGGAGAGACAAATGAACACAAGACTCAATGTCCAAGATCAATAATTCAGAATCTTTTTATTTCACCTTGCCTGAGCACTTTGTGCCCTGTTGAACTAAAAACTTAACCATGATAAAGAAAACTTGTACATACTGCTGCATCAAATGTTTTCTCGAGAGACTTTGACTTGTAGTATATGTGGTAAACCTCCACTTTATCTGGATTATCCTCAGGGGCATCCCAGAATACCTGAACAGTGTCATACAACAGTTTGGCATGTACATTCCTTGGTGCTGATGGTATATACTCTAAACAAATAAAACAGAACATAGAATTTATTTTAAATACATGTACAATGTACTGTAAATATAGTAACAAGATGTCATGTACTCCAAGAATTTTAGATAGCTAAAAATACCAATGGTTATCTATATAATGTCAAAAAACTTCATAAAAAACATACTTGAAAAAGAAATTTACTGAAATTATGCCTTTAAAATCACAAAACAGTACATAATAATTATACCTAATAGATCTATTTGAAAAAAAGGTGAATAATTCATTTTAAAGAATGTAAATAATGATCTGTGCAAAATATGCAAATCAATCTAATAGTAAATGTATAGTAGGAACTGTACGATTTTAACTACTATGAGCTTAACTTACGAGTTCCATGCACAAGACAGTTGATGAGAGTGTCTCCATGTGGTAGACAGACCAGTAGCTCCAACTGGTCATTATGGTCTGGTACGGCTCCTGCACAGAATGGCAGGCATCCTTCAGGTACCCCATCTTTTGAGCAGCATTTTGTGTGATCTTTTCCATCTGCAAATTTATTATATCAAACATTTTATTTACCAAAGAAAAATTATCTTGTGTTGTTGTTGTTGTTATATTATTTGTGATTGTTTTTTCATCACAGGAGGCTAATATTTATATATGTTTCCTAGTTACTTTCTTTTATGTCCCCTTTCATTGAATAAAGTTAATTGTTTATGGAGATAAAAATATTTATGTGTTACTTTAAAATACTTAGAAAAGATTTGTATTAAACGAAACAATTACAAAGATAATAATCTTTAATCTTACCACTTCCGCAAGACAAAAATTCTGGCACATAATTGGCACAATGAGTCAGGGCTGAATTACTAAATAAACCATTAATGTTTATATCGTAAGTGCAAATTGCAGATGTGCAGTCAAGTGGAACACCTTTCGATTTACAACATTCTGAAAAAAAAAGAGAAATATCAAAATACCACCTTAATTCCATGTCAAAATCAAATGCTAAAAAACTTTTAAAGTTTTATACCTATTTCATGTATTTCTTTCAATTTCAAATAGTTCACATATCAAATATGAACAAATTCCATATATTTTCATGAACAGGAAAGGTGAGTGAGTGAAAATATATGGGGTTTTATCATATTAAGTGAGAAAACATTCAATATTTCATGAAAAACAAAACCAAAAGTCTTTTTATTAAATTTTGCTATCATAACATAACATAATATAACATAACTATCAAAATTATGAAAACCACCAATTGTTACCAAGCTACCATGCATACCACACAGTATTGTTTTAATTATTAAAAGGTGTGTGACTCATTTCAATATATTCCCCCATCTTGAACAGTCTTGAAAATCAGAATTCTTATTACAATTTAAGATTATGAAATGAACTAAAACTTCAGACTGTTATAGAAAAACATCTGAGCCGTGTCACCACAAAACCAACATAATGGCTTTGCGACCAGCATGGATCCAGACCAGCCTGCGCATCCGTGCAGTCTGATCAGGATCCATGCTGTTCCCTTTCAGTTACTCTACTTGTTATAGGGTCTGTCAGCGAACAGCATGGATCCTGATCAGACTGCGCGGATGCGCAGGCTGGTCTGGATCCATGCTGGTCGCAAACCCATTATGTTGGTTTTGTCATGACACGGCTCAAATAATCTGAAAATTAATGTAGTCTCTCAAATAAATGTCTGTATGAATTTTGACTCAGCCAAAATCATTCAACTGATAAAACTTGTTTAATATGATCAAGTACTTGAGGTACTAATCAATCCTTTAAAATTTCGTTGAAATTGCATAAGTGGTATTTGTAGAAGCCAAAATGGAAAGAAGGCATATAATTGCTGCAAATTTTATGGATTTCTGGTAGAGTAAAGACTGACATACCTGAAACTTCTGTTTTATTATGTGGTGCTGATGTAGGTGTAACAGGAATAAAATCTGAAATATGAAAAACTTATATATCAACCTAAAAGTCAACTTTTTCTAAACTATGAAATCAAATAAGTTTCATATAAATTTACTTAATACTAATCCTATGAGCCGTGTCATGACAAAACCAACATAATGGGTTTGTGACCACCATGGATCCAGACCAGCCTGCACATCCAGGCATTCTGATCAGGATCCATGCTGTTCGCTTTCAGTTTCTCTACTTGTTATAGGGTTTGTAAGCAAACAGCATGGATCCTGATCGCAAACGCATAACGTTGATTTTGTCATGACACAGCTCATATGTATGTTTAATCTAACAGGTATACATTGAATAAGTCTCTGTTTTCCCCCCAACTTCCCTTTAATATCAGGCTCAAATACTATCATAAATAGTCTTTGATGGTTAAGAAATACATAGTATTCCCTGTTGCTACAGCATGGCTGCAAACATGCTATTATATATGAATACGTGTTAAAAAAGTGACACTTTTCAATATGCCAGATTAACATATTTAAATGTCATTGTCTTTGATAGGTGTGATAGTTAATATCAGTATAATAAATTAATGAAGAAGGTATTTCTTATTCTTTTATTTGTTGGACAAGTTTAATACAGTGGTACCCAAAGCCACAGACCTAACCTTGTAAAAAATTGTGAGAAAAACAAAACAACTTGCATACAGCTGTGGACTGAAAAAATCCAAAACTTACTTCTTAAACTACCAGTCGAGTGCATTTTTCCAAACTTGTTGGATCCAGTACAGGTATAGCTTCCAAAATCAGCTGAGGTAACATTGTTAACAATTAAAGCACCGGTGGTTTTACCAGTACCATAATCATTGCTCAACGTTGGGAAATATTTTAAACTAGGCTGTATAACATTCCCATCCTTTGTCCATATGACTGTATCTGGAAAACCTTCAAACTCACACAGTAACCTAGCATCTTGTCCCATGTTTGGTATGGCCGTCTTCTCAGTCATTTTCTTTGCTACAGGCTTATCTGAAAAGCATTAGTTTATTTTGATCAGAAGAAAAAATTGTGGTTTCTCACATAGTAAAGTGCGGTCAGTTGGTCAAAAAAGTTTGTCTTTTCCTTTCATTACTTTTTTTCATCTTGTGACACAATGTCTTTAGTGCTATCTTTTCAAATATAGGTGATATAGTAACAATCTTTAACAATTTGATGAAGGGCTTTCCAAATCAACTGCAAAATCTTGGTTCATTTTTCCTGGTAAAAATTTAACTGAAAATAAAACTTTCTTATCTTTAAGTTGTGGTGGATGAACCTAAAATATACAATTACAATTATTACAATTAAGTCAAATACATATCATCTCGCTAGTTTCTTTATATTTTCATTATATTCTCAATTATTCAAAGTAAGCTGTCTTACATCTCTGCCGATATATGCCAGTTCAGACAGCTTTTAGGTTCCTTTAAGATATGGATGATTGGATCCTTATAATCTGTTAAACTCATTTAAGAAACAAGCAACTACTGGTGCATTTAGTGACTTGCATAACGAAATTGGGGCTTTACTAGCACAAAATAGGCAGTTAGAACAAATAAAATACCCATACACAAATAAGGCTAAGGTAACCTTTTATTTAATGCCAATAGCAATAGTAACTTACCTTTACCACATGTACTATGTCAGACACCCTACATTTTGAAACTCAATTCTTAAAGTTACAATGGAAGGCTCAATTCTCAAAGCAGACAAGTCCAGTACATATATATTGCAGGGAGTTATGTTACTGTTACACAAATGAGGCTAAACCAAATTAAAAATTTAGAAACATAAAATATCATCATTGATATTGACACTTACATCGCACATTGAGATACAGGTCCTCACTCATCATTTTGCCATCAATAAATGTAACATTGCATAAGTATAATCCCTCGTCCTTACTGGTCACTTCTTGAATAACATGTATATTTCTATTTTCTATTGTCTGTTTATTTCTCAACCATTTCACAGTATCAAACTTGGCACCATAAGAAGCACATATTAATCGAACTGAAGTACCATTGTCAACTACACCAAGAGGGTCATGTGACACTGATATAGTATATTGAGCTAAAACAATAGATAAAAAAAAACATATTAAATTTAACAAAGTGGGAGAGCAAATTGCAAACTAAATGTATGATCAGTTGCAACTATGTGTATATTTATAAACTTTAATATGTCTACATAATTGTGCATCAAGATGTTTTTTTTAAATCAGACTTATTTTTACTTTGTTACAACTGACACACTAAGCAACGGGTGTGGAATAAATTGTTTAATATAATTATATGATTGTGCTTAAAGCTTCCTCAGAATATAGATAATCTGCAAACAAAAACAGCTTTTTTAAAATCATTTTCATGATGAAATATATATTGAATGTACTCATGATCAAATATGTTTAAATGGACAGTTTATAATTTAAAAAATCTGTTTATATTTGACTAAAGACATAATTAAAGAATCATGAAAAGACTACTTTAACATCTTAGATTTTAAAACTGTTTAATACACTTGTTACTATATATAGTAACAAAATTGCCTATGATTTCAATAGATTATGAGTGTCACATGATCAATTATAAGCTTGGGCCCGGGACTAGAAACTCGGCTTGCTGAACATGAGCCATTATTTGGGCGGACCAATTATCACCTTACGACCCTACAAGCTCTTATTAATCAAATTATAACAACAGACTGTTTAATAGTTTCCTCAATAAAACTTATTATAAACATAATTTTTCTTAATGTCAACATTAAATATGAGAATGGTTAGAGATTATTTATACTTACAATCAACTGGTGTTGTTAAAATAATATAAGGCGAGGGCAGACTCATTCCATTACCATTGTAGGCGGCCACTGCAACACGATACTTTGTCAAGGGGGACAAGTTTTTAAAAACATAGGAATTCAGCTTAGTTCTCTACAAACAGAACATTATTTTAAAGATACATTACAACATAATTTATAATCACAAATCTTCTTAAAACTGTACCATTTATAATTAGATGTAGTGCATACACAAAATGAGTCATAATTTTTTTTTTTGTAACTACCATTATAAAGGAAGTGAAAACCTTATAAAATTGCCAAGTATCTACAATGACTGTTACTGCCTGACTTTTATCTCTTGATTACGTATCATTGTAAGTGTATATAAAGCATGTTAATCTCTCGTGTGTTTTCACATACAAACATTTATTGTCAATTTTTTAGAATTTTAAGAATTTTTTTAGCACAAATTGATGTAACAAACATCTTATATAGACTATCATTTAATATGTTTAAACTGTCCAGATGGCATTTTAAGACAATCATACAATCAAGACAATATAGAGTTCATAAGACCTAATAAAGTTCAAAGAAAAAATAATAAAGTTCAAAGAAACAAGATTAAGTTCATAAGACAAGATACCCTAAAAATCTAATAATATGCCACAGCTTGGTTGCCTATTTTCGAGTATGGCTCATTTTCCAGGTCGCAATATTTTCAAATTGAAAATGGAATAAAGTTTCACTGGCTCATTTCAAAAGCAAAGATTTGGTCAGTAGTTACCATGTTAGTTATAAGATTGTTATAAATAAATAAACATTCCTATAATCATGATGCATTAATGTAGATTTGACCATTAACGGATGTCTTTATTTGGTAGCCAGTCCCAAAATTTAATCCAATCTATCTAATGTACAATGTTATTCTTCCATTTTCGGGTACTACAGGTTGAAATCTCACCAGAAGTTTGACCTGGGAAAGCCGGACAAGCTTAATATGGATAGATGGACAGTGAATGCAGTGAAAAAAAAATATGTCTCCTACAAATTTTGGGAGACATAATTACTCACATATCGTTCTACAGTGTCCTTAGAGCTGTCTTTCCAAATATAGGTTACATAGTAACAGCTGGAATTACAGTTACTAGCAGACTGTTTCCACTTCATGGTAATCTCAGTACTGTTTGAGGCTACAGCTTTCACATACTGAGGTGGTGTAGGCAGTAAGCCTGTATTACAAATCAAAAATTGTATTTAAAAATCAAGATTCTTTTTGAAAGCTGTGGAATTTGTTTCCTGATATTGTTATAAAGCAAAACGTAACTTTTTAACAAGACAAAAGTTACTACAAATTACCAGGACATAGTACAGGATTTTTTTAAAACTAATAACAGATAAGTAAAACATTTTGTTATAGTCTTGTGATCTTTACAAAATGGTTTAAACTAAATCCTTGTGGTTATTACTTGTCATTACTAAACACAAACCCCTGTGACCTTTACTTTTGTATAAAATTAACATTATACTTCAGCTCTTTACTTTGGTAAATCAAAAAATTAATTTGCTGCAAAACATACAATAATAAAATCATATTTTGTTATCTTTTAAACATCCATACACTGCACAATGTAAGAGGTAAACTTCCAAAGTCATTGCTTTAAAGCCAGCTTAAGGATTTATCAAAACTTCTATGGCATAAATAATGGTTTCTATATTATTCAAAATTCATTTTTTGTACATTTACCTTGACCTTCAGTGAAACAAGAGAGTATAGGTCCAATGAAAGTCAGACATAGAGCAGCATTGACATCCCTTGACCCAGGTTGACCTTTGCAATAATGAAGACAGCTTGGTGAAAATCCTGGAATTTTACGACTGCAGCAATTGGTGTGATCACGTCCATCTACAAATAAAGTATAAACCATTATACACAGTGTAACTGATATATATCTTTCATGAATCAGTAAAGCCCTCAAAATATTTTAATTTAGCCAAAAAATAGTACATAACTATCTTTTAACTACATAGAAGAGTACATAAAAATTTTAAAAATAGTAAATGTTTCACAAATTGCATAGAATCACTTTTGTGATAATTTCATGTTGCATTTGAGAAGTTCAGCTAAAAAAAACTATAATCAAATAAGGCAATTTTCATACATAGAGATCTTAAAAATAATATAATTTTTTTTTTGTTGTTCATTATGACTCTGTAAAATGCATATGATTTTAAATTTTTACTGGTTTAGGAAGATCTCAAGTGCCTCTCTGTGCATTATTTCATGCACAAAACAGGCACCTGAGTAGAACCACTGACCCTTAAAAAGCAAGCTAGATAGTTTTTTAACATAAAATCCCTATTATGATTTTATGCCTATTAAAAGAGGGGCAAATATTTCAAGGTATGGGGCCTCTATCACTGAACCAAAGACCTTAAAGTTGAAATATAAATAACAATGTTCAAATTCAAAGAACAAATAAATGAAACAAAGAGAAATGAGATCATCTATATAAACAATTACAAAACTGTTTTACAAATGAATTTAAGCCCTGACAAAAGTAGTACAAATAAAAAGACTTACCTGCAGCACAAGCAATGATCTTGTCAATGTCACCAAAACATGATCTTGTATCTAACTCATCAAACATACCAGACTGACACATAGACTGACAGTCAGTAGAAATATTACTCTTCTGACAACATTCTATAAAACATTTATAAAACCATATTTATAATGATATTTTGTCATGATAATATCATGCTGGGGATATATTCAATTATTTTTACTATTTCAGGCAATCTAAGTACCTTACTATCCAACGACATTCACTTATGGGCTTTCATTAACAATTAGGCAATGGATATAATAATGTCATGAACATTCAACATATGGTCCATTATCAATTTACAATATAATACAGTAAAAACTCTGAAAACCGGACCCTCTGAAAACCGGAATCCTCTGAAAACCGGACGATTTCAAAAGTCCCGTATTTTCTCCTTATAAGTTCATTGAAAAAAAATCCTCTAAATACCGGAACCTCTGAATTTCGAAAACCGGATGATTTTCTATGGCTACTAATGTTAAACATGCATAAAAAATCCTCTGAAAACAGAGTGTAGGACAAAAGCCCCCCCCATTTAAAAATGACAAAGATGGTCAAAACCCCCCCATTAAATTTACACATAGGACAAAAGCCCCCCCCCCATCAAAAATACAGGTAGGACAAAAGCCCACCCGCCCCCAGTCCATTTCAACATGTTTATATTTTTTTTCTTGGCTAGCTGGGTTACTGAATTTAATTTTCAGGGCTCAGTGTGAAAAAAATTGTTAAAAATACACAGAAGCAATTTTTTTTATATTTTTTTTACTAGTTAAGATATTATATTCACATCCTAATGAAGAGTCATACTATATTAGTCCTGTTGGCAAACATGGCACTATACCAGTAATTGGTTAGTTTATACTAGTTTATTTTACTGAAAGCTATAAAGTTATTGAAACACTCTCGAACCTGTCTCTAAAACCAACAAGTACTAAGCAATTAGTGTAGTTTCTTGCTCACAGACGAAATCAGTACTTGTCTTGTAGGAGCAGAATGGTTTAAAACAAGAACTATGAAAAACTCACTTACCATTTCGATCTTGCCATAACTGCAACCAATCATCATCTGTCTTATTACTTGGTACTAAAATATAAGGAAATGTATTAAATCTCATATATTTATGTTCCTCTTTGAGTTTGTAACTTCATAGAGAAATTAGTAACATATAAAATAATAAATAAAATAAACCTGAGTATACAATTGTTTGTATTGGTCTCGTTGCTCCTCAGGGATCTCCACTAGTTACAAATTTAAATTGTTCTAATGGAAGTCTTTAATATATTGCTTTGTAATATAAGAACTGTAATACTAATATATTTTTTAATTATCAAAACGCTGATAAAAAGCAAAGCATGCTACTATTTCAATTGTAAAAATAGAAAATGTTGCAGACCACACAGATTCTGTTAGATAAGGTCATAGGACAACAATTTTATTGCTTGCAAACTGGAGAGAATGACCTAAAATGACAAAAATTTAGGTGCCTAAATGCATATACATTGTCAAAAAAAGAAAAGAACAAAACTTTAAAATAAATTTTCAAAAATTAAAAAAGTACCTGGTTTAGTGATAGCTACAAGGACATTAGAGGGTGTACTTTGTCCATTCTTGTTGTTTGAAGTGACTCGCATGAAGTAGCGTGTATTAGGTGTCAATTTGGTTAAAGCAAAATATGTGAGACTGGTGTTTGGTTTCTGCAAATTCATATTTCAAATCATTAATCAAGGCATAAATAATATCTAAATTGTCGAGGAGGGGTTCCTCGATTAATTGATTTCTTTAGTATAATAAAATAAATAAATCAAATGTGTGTGATAGAAACCAATCACGCTAAACATTTTTTTTTATTATTGATATATCTTAATTAAAGCTGAACGCCTCCAGATGAGCCAAACTATTTCCAGAAATTCAATCTTAAACTAGAACTATCACTAAATGTGATTAATACCCCCACAAGACTGCTTCGGAACTGAGGATGTTACTAGTAACAGAATACCTTGTAAAAGAATTGAAATATAGAGTTATGGTTGTGGCCAATTAAAGATAGTTGTGGTTCTTATATGTTGCATTTCCTTTCAATGTGGTTGGCCATTGATGAAGTTTAATTGAATTACTCTGTAATAAGTCCAGAAAGACAAAGAAAAGGAACAAAGGGCAATAACTCTATAAATACTGAAGATAGAGTTATAGTTCTTGTGCACTGCACTTCCTCTTATTGTGCTTGACCATTGCATGAAGTTGTTTTGAATTCCAACCAGTACGTTTTAAGTAATGCTCCTGACAAGGAAAAGTATCAAAGGGCAGTAACTCTGTATTTTGTCAAAATGGAGTTATGGCTCTTGTGCACTGCACTTCCTTTTAATGTCCTTGACAACTGTATGAAGTTGTATTGAATTCCAAAACAGTAGTTTTCAAGTTATGCTCTGGACAAGGAAAAGTAACAAAGGACAATAACTCTGTAATTAGTCAAGATGGAGTTATGGTTCTTGTGCACTGCACTTTCTCTCAATGTGCTTGACCATTGTATGAAGTTATATTGAATTCCAACCATTAGTCTTCAAGTTATGCTCCAGACAAAAAAGGCAATAGAAAAGTAACAAAGGGCAATAACTCTGTAATTACTTTAGATAGAGTTATGGTTCTTGTGCACTGCACTTCCCCTTATTGTGTTTGACAATTGTATGACGTTGTTTTGAATTCCAACCAGTAGTTTTCAAGTTATGGCCCAGACAAGGAAAAGTAACAAAGGGCAATAACTCTGTAATTAGTCAAGATAGAGTTATGGATCTTATGCACTGCACTTCCTCTCAATGTGCTTGACCATTGTATGTAATTATATTGAATTCCAACCATTAGTCTTCAAGTAATGGTCTGAACAAAAATCAATGGAAAAGTAACAAAGGGCAATAACTCTGTAATTACTTTAGATAGAGTTATGGTTCTTGTGCACTGCACTTCCCCTTCTTGTGTTTGACAATGTATGAAGTTGTTTTGAATTCAAACCAGTAGTTTTCAAGTTATGCCCCGGACAAGGAAAAGTAACAAAGGGCAATAACTCTGTAAATAGTCAAGATAGAGTTATGGTTCTTATGCACTGCACTTCCTCTCAATGTGCTTGACCATTGTATGTAGTTATATTGAATTCAAACTATTAGTCTTCAAGTTATAGTCCGGACAAAAAAAAAAGTAATGGAAAAGCAACAAAGGGCAATAACTCTGTAATTACTTTAGATAGAGTTATGGTTCTTGTGCACTGCACTTCCCCTTATTGTGTTTGACAATTGTATGAAGTTGTTTTGAATTCCAACCAGTAGTTTTCAAGTTATGCCCCGGACAAGGAAAAGTAACAAAGGGCAATAACTCTGTAAATAGTCAAGATAGAGTTATGGTTCTTGTGCACTGCACTGCCTCTCAATGTGCTTGACCATTGTATGTAGTTATATTGAATTCCAACCATTAGTCTTCAAGTTATGCTCCGGACAAGGAAAATGCAACGGACGTCTGGACATACCGACCGCCCGACCAACCGACCACCGGGTGACTCCTATATACCCCCCCAAACTTCGTTTTTGGGGGTATAAAAAATGTATTAAGATCTTCAGAAGAGTAAAAAGATTCAATATTTAATTAATTATTTACATGTGCGATTAATGACTGATTTAGCAGTATCAATCTCTTTAATTCTACTGTGTTACTAACTCAGTAAGAAGTAATTATGTATATTTTGACCTCTTTTTGGTAATTTACGTGGATTGTTAGTGCCGTTTGCATTGTGTAAACTACTTTCTTTGTTCACTTCACAATATTTTACTTTTAAAAAACATTTTCAAAATTTTCATGAAAATAAGCATGTACATGTATCTGGAGGCATGCTGCTTTAAGAGGTAAATACAATTTTCTCTTCCTTTGCATCTCTCCTAACAATTCAAGCAGGCTATAGGGAATATAACTCAAATAAAATAACAGCATAAACATGTTTGTTTTGAGGAGTAAGTAACTCTTTTAGCTGCATCCTCAAGGCTTTAGCAATCGCTCAGTTACAAATGTCACAGCGTATTCTTGTAGTAGTAAGCACAATGCCCACTTTCTGTAATGCTGCTTCGATGGAATATCACATTAGATTGTCATTATACTCCATACACATACAGTATACAGACTCCGGTCTGTCTTACAACTATCCCTATACTTGTACTATTTCTATAATGGTCTTTTGTAGAACCTTGCTGGAGGTGCATGAGAAATAATTTGTTATCAAAGCAGCAAAAAAGCAAACAGTGGTTCTTTGAAAGCCATACAAAGTGATAATTCAACTTGCAGCAAAATTGGTCAAAAAGCAAAATGTGGTTCACCTAAAGTATATGGCCAATATGTTCTATATCAAAAACTAGCAAACCAATATCAATGAAAAGCTATTGAGACACAACAAAAGAATTATAATTTGAGGAAAATCAGTCTTTAAGATCACACAAAAATAGGCGTCACGACAAAACCTACATAATGGGTTGTGACCAGCATGGATCAAGACCAGCCTGCGCATCCCTGCAGTCTGATCAGGATCCATGCTGTTTGCTTCCAGTTTCTCTACTTCGAGTAGGGTTGGTAAGTGAACAGCATGGATCCTGATCAGACTGCGCGGATGTGCAGGCTGGTCTGGATTCATGCTGGTTGCAAACGCACTATGTTGGTTTTGTTGTGACGCTACTCAAATGTAAGAAATTATGGAGCTGGTTTTTTCAAAGTAAGAGATGCCATTACCTTTGTCCAAATACTGTTATCTAATGAGTGTTCTACAGTATAGCTGGTAATATTCGGACCTCCACCTGGTTCTTGCCAATCTATTACTATTGAATACTGTTCTATTGTTTTTACTTCAACATCCTCAGGTGGCCGTGGATACAAACCTGGATCAAAATTTAAATATAGCATACAATTATAATTCTCTGTATCTTCAATGGGTTTTATAGCCTGTTGCTTTTTAATTCATACAACACTGGGCAGTAAAGTATACTTATATCACAGATCATCGCCTTAGTGCTGCAATGGGCTCCATAAACAGAATCAAATGTTCTGGAACAAAATATTAATCTGCTTTATATCCATTTATCATGGATTTGATTATGTGTGCAATTTACTACCATGTTTATTTCATGCAAGCATTTTGAGAGTATTCTTTTTTAAAATTCAAACAATAATTTTAGCAGCAGATATAGCTTCATACACTTTAAAACTTAATCAAAACCAAAAACAAATGTCTTTCCATACCTTTGCCTTCATCAAAGCATATTGACAGTTCCTCCACTTTGATTGCACATGGAATGAGGGCTGTACTAGGTGTAACACCAGGTTGTAGGTTACAGATATCTAAACATTGATCATTAATACCAGCATTTTTACAACATGGTCTGTGATCACGTCCATCTGATTGTTCAAGACAAACAAAATAATAACTGATTAAAATTTAATAAATTCATTAAGCATGATTTATATAATAACATTAGTATCAGTGAGTGCTAGGTACAAGAATACAATGTGGAGTGTCATTGGGAAAATGACCCACAAAAAAGGAAGTTAATAGAAAATACAAATATTGTTGATGCAAATCTTAAACATCTCTAGAGAGCTAATTATAATACTGCATGTTTGTAACGTCAATTTTCATTGGATAATCATGATGTTTATGTAGTTTTATATACACAGCTACTGTCAATTTTCTGAGAAATCTCACTTTTTTTCTCAAAAAAAAGAAAGAAGTTTGCTGTATCATAAATTCTTTATAAATATTCCTGACAGGTTTTATGACTGTATTTAAACAGTTGTTTGCAATACAACCCTTGCCCAGCAGCTTGGGTTATATTTCCAAAAAAAAAAAAAACGTTTATATAGGGCCATATAACCTGTTAAAAATCTTTATAACTAATAATACATGTAAAAGTAAAGATAAAACATTATTTGATAAACAAGCTGTAATAAATGACTAGAAAGAGATGGATGTACCTGTACTACACAGTAACATTGCTGTAATATCATCTACACAGCTAAGTGCAAGAGTGAGAGCTTCATCAGTCAATCTGAAATCATGTACGCATATCTGTAAGCATCGTGCACTGACACCATTCTTCATACAACACTCTGAAAATAAAACCAAATAACACAGAAATCTTACATCTTATACTACATAACCCGTTTTTATGAAATTACAAAAATTAAACAAAAAATTTTTAAAATTTTTGGATGCAATTTTTAATTTTTTTATTTATAGCCTTTTTTATTTTTTTTTCATAACACGGCAATACCCAGAAATCTTTATATATATACTGTAAAATACTGGAATATAATTTTTTAATTTTTACAATATAAAGAAATTTTAAAAGATAAAACCTGTGGGTATTCCCAAAAACCCCATCCCAAACCTTATTGTTCCATTTTAAAATTTCAAAAAAATTTTGTTTTAAATCCTTTTCATGACTTTCTAAAAGTGTAAAATTTTACCCTTTCAAAAATTACATAACAGTAAAAGTTTTTCAAATTTTAGGGGTTTTTCGAGAAGGGGGTTTAAAAGAGCCCCGTCCGACAAAACAAAAATAGTGCCCTTTGGCCCAAACCAAGGATGGAATTCCCAAAAGGGGGGGAAAAACCTGCGGGGTTCCATGGGGAAGTTGTAGGGAATTTCCCCAAGGGGGGGGGCCCGGGGGTTTCTACCAGGTTTTTCCTTCCCTTAAACCCCCCTTTGGTTTTTAGGAATCTGTTTGCCCCAACCTTTTTAATTTTTTGGGTTTTTCCCCCTTATCAGGGCTGCCGGGAAAGCGCAGGGTGGTCTGGATCCATGCTGGTCGCAAACCCATTATGTTGGTTTTGTCGTGACGCTGCTCAATTATTTCTTTGTCAATGAAAATATTTCAAGTATGAGAGAGCACCATACATGTAATTAAAAACTTGTATTTAAAATCTGGAAAACTGGATGGATAATTTAAACCCACAGAGGAAATTATTGTTTTCCCTTTAAAACTTCAGAAAAAACAAAACAAGAATTTATAGCTATTTAAAAAGTTAAAACATAAAAATTTAATTTTAAATTTAAATTTAAAAATTTACTTATTTGCTCCAATTTAAAACCCAAAACCCGGCATTAATTTTCTATATTTTGCACAAAAATTAAAAAATTTCATTCAAGAAGTATGTTAAAAAAGGTTTTAAGACAAAAAAAAATTGTTTTGTTTAACAATAAATTTGTTTGTTTTTTCTATGAATTTTTGAGATAAATTTATAAAAAATCTTTCCCGTTTTATTATAAAACAGTTACTGGCCCTTCTGTTTTTGCTTTTAACAACAATAAATAAATGGGATGTATTTTTTTTAAAAAATCTTAAATTATCTTTAAAAGGCATTAAAAAAACATTATTCATGTTTCCAAGGGTTAAAATATCTAAATACCAAATCATTTTTTTCGTACATCATTAATGTATTTAAAAATTTTTAAAACTATGTCATGGGAAAATGATATTAATCTTTTAAAAAATTTTAGCTCAATTTTAAAAATAAAAACCCAAATTTTCCAGTCTGTGGGTTTTTAACATTTTTTAAAATATTTAGGGTCAACCTTTAAATTTTCAAATCATGAAAATGGGTTTAGTTTAAGGGGATCAGATTATGGGGTTCTACATTAACGAACATACCCATAATAAATGTGAACAAATACAGATCTTAGAAATTTAATTCATTTCAAACAAATATTGTGTATATTAAATGAACACTAAACTTGCTGGACCTGAAATTGATATGCCTTTGCTACCAGTATAGGGTCAGGCTGCAACCTTAAAATCCATGCAGTTTGACAAAGCTCTATGTTATAATCTGATCAATATTTAATTTGATATTGAAATGCCTTAAACTTTAAATGGACTGCTCCAAATTCAAAGCTGGGTAAATTCGTAAGATCCTAGCACAAATTTAGCAGGTTAAGGATACATGTAAAATGTTGACCCTGACTTTATAATTGACCCATTTTATAGGCAATACAACACACAATTTCAATATCCACATATCAGTATTACATAAATATTTCAAAGGGGAGAGGTGGCCTAGTGCATGTAGTGATTAAGGTGTCTGCCTCTCAACCCAGGGATTATGGTTTCGAGCCCTAAACAAGTCATAACAATGTTTCTTCATATTACACCAGTACTGGTTGGTTCCAGGAAGCAAATTCAAAAGTAATTAATATAAGTTGCAAGAAATTGTTTCACAGTCGAGCTTAGATAAATCTGTTAAACCGTATTTCAGAGGATGTATACAACAGTTTCTATGTCAGAACATATCAACTAACCTTCTGTGATAAGAATAAGGGTAAGTTCAGGAAGACTGGAACCATTCTCATTCTCGGTTGATACTACAACATCATATTTGGTTCCAGGCTCTAAATTTGTAATCTTGTATGTAGTTCCAAACTTTATTTCTGCCTGAAATATTATAAATAAAGATATAGTGATACATTTTATTTCTTACTAAATGATGATACTCAAAAATAATATATCCGAACATATCTAATCTGCATTAAAACAAGAATTCCAGCCTTATTAATGTCAATACTGCAATCTATGACCACAAAGAGTAAGAAACAAGATGCCAAGTCTCTCACTTTTAAATGCTAGAAGCATCAAGAATGAAAGTCACTTGTTTCACTTATGGTACAAAATGGTGGTGGTGGTGCTTGTAGTTTTCACTCCAAATCACAGCAGTAAGCCACAATGAATTTACCAGAGCACAGTTCAGCCACAGCATTTTTCCTGGGCAGGCTGTCAAGCAGTTTACCAGTACTATTTGTCTTAACTTTCGCAAGGAACTGATAACTTCTGTACATGCCAAAGCAGAAGAAAAGTGTAAATGACCGTAAAAAGGATTTCATGATCAATCACAATGAAAGTGACCTACACTGCCTGGGAATCAATCCCAGATAGCCTGATTCACAATCCAAAGCTCTACCTAATGAGATAGTCAGACAGTTAGGTACAAAATGTGAGTCCTGACATTTCACCTTCTTAGCTATTGCTATAACACTGCTATCTAGGTTGCAGTTAAATAAAAATGAGTAATTCCAAATTTTATTTTACTTTTAAAAGACTATCCCGAGAATGCTAAAAAAACAGCTGTCACTGTTATTTAGACCAACAGCCTTTAAAATTACGAGTTTCAACATTAAGACAGGAGACAGACCTGGTATTGATGTAAATACATGACTCTAACTATATTACATGAAAGAAAATGCCTGTCTAGAGATTAAACTATAACTTCAACAAAAAAACTACTAACGAAACAAAACTTACACTTTTCCATTCATTAAAAATATCCTTGTCTTTTTTCCATGAGACTAAATATTCATCTCCAGATTTAAAGTTTCCTGGAGCTTCCCAGGCAACAACAGCAGACGTGTCAGTTACAGTTTCAGCAAGTATGCGGGTATTCTGTGGCGGGTCTGGCATCATAACTGAAATATAAAAATATAAATCACAAGACCTGCTATACTGTAACGTGCTAGAACTGAAAGTGATAATTCTACAGTATGACCAAGCTATATGCCCTTTTGCAGATCAAATTTTGTATTTTATAAATAAAAATCCCTAAATATTCAAATGGATTGTTCCAAATTCAAAACAGGGGGCAAGTTCATTACACAAATTCAGGAGGTGAATGATCAACAAGCTAAAGTTAAACAGCATCCTCATGAGAAAATACAAGGTATAGATCTTTACTTTTAAAATAGCAATTATAACATCCCCGGTCTGCCTTTTTGAGGGTAACTCCCAATATGATATTATATGCCTAAAATGAGATAAAATTCTCACTAATTCTTCCATCTTCATGACAAGAGGGCCATGATGGCTCTGAGGTCGCTCACCTGTATATAGGCCCCCGGAGCGGGGCCAGTTTAAACCCCAGGGCTTTTATTTGAGCAAACTTGGAAGACACCCATTACAAGATGTTTCATGATGTTAAGTTTTTACTACACACATATAATGAAAAACAATGACCTCCCCCCCCCCCTTTGGCACGGCCAATTTAAACCCAAGGGCTTTTATTTGGACAAACTTGGTAGACACCAACAAAAAGATGTTTCCTGCTTAAAATCTAACCTCTAGCTCATTGGGTTTTTTAAAAGAAGATTTTTTAAGTTTTTACTATACACATATAGTTAAAAACAATGACATCTCTGGGGCGGGGCCAGTTTTAACTCCAGGGCTTTTATTTGAACAAACTTTGTAGACACTTACTAGAAGATGTTTCATGCTTAATATCTAAACTCTAGCTATATGGGTTTTTCAAAGAAGATTTTTTAAGTTTTTTGCTATACACATGTAAGGAAAATCAATGACCCCCGGGGCGGGGCCAATTTTGACCCCAGGGCTTTTATTTGAACAAAGTTGGTAGACACCCATTAGAACATGTTTCATGCTAAATATCTTAGCTCTAGCTCTTTGGGTTCTTTAAAAGAAGATTTTTTAAGTTTCTACTATATGCATATAGGGAAAATCAATGACCCCCTGGGACGGGGCCAATTTTAACCCCAGGGCTTTTATTTGAACAAACTTAGTAGACACTCACTAGAAGATGTTTCATGCCAAATATCTAAGCTCTAGCTATTTGGGATTTTTTAAAGAAGATATTTAAAGTTTTTTCTTTTGGTTGCCATGGCAACCAGAGTTCTGCATGGAATTAAATTCTTTGAACAATTTTTAAAGGTGACCACCAACGGAACATTCCTGTGAAGTTTGGATGAAATTGGCTTAGTGGTTTATGAGGAGATGTCATTTAAAGTAAAAGTTTAGGGATGGACGACGGACAGACGCCGGACGGACGCCGGATGAAAAGCGATCACAAAAGCTAAAAACTGATAAAATCTTTTAGTGCTATGATAATATTTTCCTTCATAGTATAACTATATATTTAATGATTCACCTAAATCTGCTGTTTATTTAGATTTTTTTTCATATTTTGTCAATTATATAGAATACTGACCCCAAAAATCACTGCCACTTTTGGTAAGGGAGGTAAATATTGAAACTATCTAATAAACTATTCAATGGAACTTGAACTTTGAACAAATTAGGACAATAATGACTTGCCTTAAGTTACTGACAGCCTACAAGTCATGTCCTAAATACTAATTAAGGATGGTAAAGTTTTAGCAACAATATTTCAATCTTTCATACAGCCTGTTTTAAAAGCATTTTTAATTTGGTTTCTGAAAAAAATGAATGAATACTGAAAAAATTTCTTATACCAGAGCCTTCAATCAAACATGCTGATATTCTGTTCATGTAGCTCAGACACCCTGTAATACTCCAGTCTAGGATTGGTTCCCCTTTGCATAAACTTAAACATTCACTTGGTACCCCTGATACCATACAGCATGGGGAGTGGTCGCCATGCCCTGAAATTAACAGTAGACCTCTACATGACACTGTCCAATTATATCAACTTTGTATGATTATAACCATTTCTGACAAAATTGTAATTTGACATAGAATTAAATGAAACAAGCCTAAAATCATTTTATAAAGTGAGTTTGCGGTGGTTTATACTGAATGCCTGTATTAAAAAAATATACATGTATACTGGTTATATTACATTAAAAACGAGTAATGGCATGTGATAACTTTTATGAAACAAATAAATGACAAGCTTAGATAAAACTGTATTCACTGCTAAACTATTGTTTCTGCTATAATTACTGCCAGATTACTGTTTCTTCGATTATAACTGCTAGACTATTGTTTATGTTATCATTTATCTGCTACAATACTGTTCCTACAATAATAACTGCTAGACTACTGTTTCTGCTCTATTTACTACTTGACTTCTGTTTCTGCTATTATAAATCACTGCTAGACAACTGTTCCTTCTATTACAACTGCTACACTACTGTTCCTCCTAAAATAACTGCTAGACTACTGTTTCTTCTATTATAACTGCTAGACTACTGTTTATGTCATAATTTATCGGCTACACTACTGTTCCTCCAATTATAACTGATAAACTACTGTTTCTGCTCTAATTACTACTTGACTTCTGTTTCTGCTAAAATTACTGCTAGGTAACTGTCCCTTCTATTACAACTGCTAGATATTGTTTCTTCTTTTATAACTGCTAGACTATTGTTTATGTTACAATTTATATGCTACAATACTGTTTCTCCAATAATAACTGCTATACTACTGTTTCTGCTATAAAACCTGCTAAACTACTGTTTCTGCTATAATTACTGCTAGACTACTGTCTCTGCTATAATTACTGCTAGACTACTGTTCCTTCTATTACAACTGCTAGACTACTGTTCCTTCTATTACAACTGCTTGACTACTGTTTCTTCTATTACAACTGCTAGACTACTGTTTATGTTATAATTTATCTGCTATACTACTGTTCCTCCAATAATAAAGACTAAACTACTGTTTCTGCTATAATAACTTCCAGACTACTGTTCCTCTTATAAGTTAAAAGGGAATACTAGCCAGTCAAATTACTTTGTATATTTTATTATTATAAATAAATGCTGTTTATAAAGTAACATATGAAGTATATCCTACCTGCAATACATTGATAAATGATATCAAGTTCTGATAAACATTTTAGCATGTCAGGATGTCCACCAGTGTAGTACAAACTGGCCGCACAGTAACCTTGGCAATCACTGGTAACATTGTATTTTTTACAGCAATCTGGAAAATTACATGTAAATATGCAGATAATATGATCCTTATCATTAACAAAATATGAAACTATCTGAAACTTTGATCAGCAAATATTCAGAATAACTGATGAAACTTTACCATTCATGTTCAGGTATAAAAGCATTACTAACTCAGGTATAAATGTTTGCTTTACATACATTTTTCAAATAAGTCAACATCACCTGGCAGAATTTCTAACAAAAGTAAGAGTAAAAATGCTAAATGAATAAAATCAGTAACTTTTACCTCTCTGCAATGTAGGTGTATCCAAAAACTCTCGAAAATAAATAAAAGAAAAATGTGTTCTAATACAATAATCCATACATATAAGTACATTATAAAAAATGTATATGCTTCAATGGGATTAAAAGTTATGATTCATTATATTAATTCTGAAAAATCACTTGCCACTCACAGCTGTGGGTTCAAACTCCATGAGGGATTATATATATTTTTTTTTTCAAGTGAGGAAGCTATCCAGCAAGCTTTGGAATGCAGTGGTTCAACTCTGGTGCCCACTTGTGTCTGAAATAATGCACTGAGGGGCACCTGAAGTCTTCTTTCACCAATAAAACTTGAAAGTTACAATATGACCATTACAGTGTTGGTGTGACTTAAAACTCAACAAAATAAACAAACTGACTGAAAAATAAAACATACCTTGTATTGTCTGTGTGTAGTTTGATAGTGGTACTACCTCTGAAATGTGAATAAAGATCATTAAAGTAACAGGTGGATCTTGAAGACTAACTTAAAGATGGCAACACATGAATTATTGAATATAATTAACAGACCAAAGTAAAGTAAAGCATGCCTTGATATACCAATATAATAATGATTTTATTCCATAACTACCATCTATAAACATGCTACATCAAATTTAGTCTGCAACATTTTCAATTTTGCCATTTTTGGGCATTCTTTAAGAATTTAATTTTCTCTATTCCAGACTTCAACTGAATTTTTACAACAGAACAATACATTTGTGGATGGTAAAGAAGAAACACTTACTACAATACAATAGTGTGGTAAATAAGTGTCAGACTCATTTGCATATCATAATTTTATGAATTTCTGCATAATGTATAATTTTCGTGGAGTTAAATAGTTTAATAGTGTGACTAATTTCCTTAGGTTAACTATTCACTTTCAAAATTCAAATTAAGAAAGCGGAGAAGCTATTCATGAATAGTTCTGAAATACAAAGATAGACAAGTCCATCACTCATATTCAGCAGTGTAAGTATTAAGCATATAATGCAACACTGCTGAATTCTTTAAATAGGTTTGCCATGGTATTTTAAGACCTTTCAGGAAATTGTGTTGTTATTTTTTTCATTCCATGACAGATCTCATTTTCATAAAATGTGGATATATGTTTTTTGCTATAAACATTGTAATAATGTTTTATTTGCAATAAAGTTGTTTGTTGTTGTTGGTGTTATGAATTTGAAATTGTCCTTGGTTAGCTATTTGCTGACACAGAAATTGACAAGCCAACTGTAAAGATATTCTCCTGACTACAAAAACAAGCAAGATAAAGTATTTTGAAATTACCAGGGAACGTAAAGTCATGATTGTTACAATCATTCACAGAATTGATTAAGAATGTATGACAACAATTCCTATAACCATGCAATATTAAAAATATATGAGTCGCGCCATGACAAAACCAACATAGTGCGTTTGCGACCAGCATGGATCCAGACCAGCCTGTGCATCCGCGCACTCAAAAGGATCCATGCTGTTTGCTATCTCTACTTGAAATAGGGTTTGTAAGCGAACAGCATGGATCCTGATCAGACTGCATGGATGCGCAGGCTGGTCTGGATCCATGCTGGTTGCAAACACACTATGTTGGTTTTGTTATGGCGCGGCTCATATTAACCTGCAGTAGACTTCAGTATAGGGAGAGATGGTTGACTGGCTCCACTGCTTGCTATAGCAACTACCTGTATCTCATACACTACATTCAGCTCTAGATTCGTCAACTCTTTCACAAGTGAATTAAGACGTAAAAGTGATGTCTAGAGAAGTAAAGACATATATTAATTGACATATATTAATCAATTGACATATATTAATTGAAATTAAGATCTTATGTTAAAAGGACCAAGTTCAACCATATAGAATTAGAATGTTTAACATATGCAAATAAAAGTGAGTAATTCTCAAATCCTTGAAAGAAATGCTACACATTTGTCTTCACAAAAAATTGAAATTATCAGCTCATCATTTTTAAAATGGACTTCCCCTTATTTGAATATGGACAAATACATTTTTAAGTTAGGGGACAATCCATTATTAAGTAGTGAAAAACAAAGAGTGAGTTAGCAAATGTAAACAGTCAAATTAATCTACATGAATAAGCTAGCTATACTACTTGCAACTATGGTTAATAGTACTTCAAAGAAATAAGTTATTTAAGACTGGCAAAATTGTATCACATTCTGTAACATTTATTCAGAAATTTTACATCTTATTTATTAATGCAGATGATATCTTTATATTATATTTTCAGGACAAGTTTAAAAATGCAAGTTAGGTACTCCTTACAGAGTTTAGAACATCAGATCCCTCTTCCATGTACTGGACTTTGTAACCAACAACAACATCAGGGTTGTCATGAGGCGGTTGCCAGGTAACAAGAAGAGAGTTTCCAGTATTTATAGCTGACACATCAGTAGGAGGACTAGGTAACAATGCTGAAAATAGAAACAAAACTGTTTATGTCTATGTCCATCAAGTGTGTAAGTTTAAACCCGTGGTATATGTTCACTCTGACATGTTAGATTGATGACAAAACACGCTGGCTGATTGATAAACACCACCAACTCCTATATAATCTTGAAACAAATGAGGATACAGAAATTACAACTGACATACAGAATTGAGAAATATTGTTGAGGTAAAAGTTACTACTTCGCTTTATAAATGAAATAATTTCACTAACTGTAAAATGTTTTAAAGAAAGCATCGAAATAAAATTTTGTTTCATTGCGAATACAGAATGTACTTCATTTTTAAAATGTCTACATTTACTAGAGCATAGTATTATATGTTTATATATTAATTTAAATTACTGTATACATTACACAGACACTTATGTAAGGTGTCTGTGTTTTAACAATGCATCATACAAAACTAAGAGCATGTATTTTTCCAATATTTCTTGGAACAAGAAAACTCACCATTTCCTTCCTTGAAACAAGTTATATAGGACATTATCTGAGCATCACTGATACATGATGTGTAATCTGTGCCATCATCTTCTCCCCAACCTTTACACAGATTCTGACACAGATCTGACAGTCCATTACGCATACAACATCCTAAATGGTTCCTTCCATCTAAAAATACAATTATCACCAGAATATAACATAGTGATAAAGAGTTATGACAGGTTATATGGCCCAGTATAAATGGTTATAAACATATGTAACCAGAGCTACTATGAATATGACTTAACAGCTGCTGTGAAGATGAATAATATAAACGTTATGATAGCCAAATGAAAATTATATATACAAACATGCAGCACATGTATTATGGCAGCTTATATAAATTTGTTTATTCTTCACTTAAGTAATTGTCAGTAGGCTTTGAAATATTATAATTTTCAGCCAATGTTCACAACACAAAATTCCTTAAAGGTGAATACAGAATATACTTAATTTTAAAAACATAACTTGGAACATGTAGGAAAGCTTCACGTAAACTTATAATGAGCATGTCATGGACATGTTTTAAAGTTAGCCAAAGAAAGCCAATCAGACATAAAATATAAGTAAAACATTATGCTACACCAATCAATCATGGGATACAATAAGTTTTTAAAAAACAACATTTAACGTTAACCTAATCCTGCTGAAACAGAATGTGATTATTAGCCAGACCAGCTTGCACATCAATGTAGCCTGACCAGACTCATTACTGCTGGCTAATACTAACTTCAATTTTTTATCTTGATATCCCCAAAATCATTAATGGACAGTTCCTAAAAAGGGAAGCCAGACAAGTCCATTTAAGAAACTCAGCAGGTAAAAAGTTAACTAGGACTTACCTTGTCCACATTTGAGAATTTGAAGAATATTTCTTGAGATGCAATCACCATTATCAGCTATTGTAATTTTAATGAGGTCCAAGATTGATGTAGAGGTATCGCAGAATGGTAGCGCACATTTCTCTACTCCATTTGTAACACAACAGTCTACAATATATATCATAATATATTCTTGATTCAGGACAATATCACAAAATTAACATGAAAGTTTGCTTCTGGTTTAACAATAAATACAAATACAGTTAAACATGTGCTTCAGGCCATACAATATACCCATAAAAAAAGAAATGCAGTAGGAAACATTCACAAACATTTCAAAGACAGAAACACATATATTTTATCTGACCAGTATCTGTAAAATAATAATTGTATTAAAGCAACACTGATTGGAACATTATATAACTTGTGAGTAAATGTTTGTTATTTTTAGAAGAATCATAAAATTTATGACACGATCTTTACCAAATCAGTTAGTTCAAAATCAAGGAAAAATGGTCTATAAAGTGTCAAGACCTTTTGTAAATTGGAACATTCAATTAAAGCTTCTTATACAGGCCAGAATTACCATTCATCAAGGTCTGGTCTCCATTGACAGGTCTGACTATATTCACTTTATACTTTTATACTTAGCTTAACACCTTGTTGACTATTTTCTGACATAACAAATGTGCATCGATGTTCATACATCATTTCTTTAGGCAGATAATTCCTTTAGTTTTGTTAAGATTTTCTATACAAATTTACAGATGCTGTACATGTACAGTAAAAGGAAAATGACATGCATGAGTGTGCTATTCTGAGGGATAGTATCTTGGTTGCGTAAAGTTGTACATCAACAACATTCAAGCAATATTTTGTTGTTGCTTTTTTGTTGTGTTTTATGTCACACCAACACAGTGTATGTCATATGGCGACTTTACAGCTTTACTATTAGAGGAAGGCTTCAGGTGCAACTCTACATTATTTCAGGCACAAACACTTTAAGCAGAAACTCATATAATACAACCCATCAGAATGTGATATGTATCTATCAACTGTATAATAATAGGATATTGATCATGTTTGATGATAAAAACCAGAATAAAGCCCAATTTTGCATTTTCTATTATCATTTCTTTTGTTTTACACAAAAATGAAATTCCTACCTGTGACATTTAAAGCTGGTATAGATGGAACTGGGGGTGCATCTATACAAATAGAAAATACAAATATATAATAAGCAAGTTTACATTCAATTTCTTACTTTACTAACTCATCATTCTAGATAAAACTAGAACTGCCACTATCATGGCGTGAATACCCCCGCATACCACTTTGTCAGAATCAACAGTGGCCATTTAGAGCTCAAGGACAACCTCCCTGCCAAATCTGAGGTTACTAAGCCAGTGCATTGCTAAGTTATGTATTCTACATGCTTCAAATGTGAAAATGTCAAAATCAATACATTGCGGACAGGACATTCTTTAACAATTGAGAAGAAAAGCTTTTTTTTGTCAAGGTCCCTGTGACCTTGACCTTTGACCCAGTGACCTCAAAATCAATTGGGGTCACCTTATAGTCATGATCAATATCCATGCCAAATATGAAGACTGTGGGTCAAAGAAATCTTAAGTAAATGGGTGGACAAACTTTTTGAAGTCAAAGTCCCTATGACCTTGACCTTTGACCCAGTGACCTCAAAATCAAAAGGGGTCATCTACTAATCATGATCAACATCCATGCCAAATATGAAGACTGTGGGTCAAAGGAATCTAAAGTTATTGGGCAGACAAACTTTTTGAAGTCAAAGTCCCTGTGACCTTGACCTTTGACCTCAAAATCAATAGGGGTCATCTACTAATCATGACTAACCTCCATTCCAAATATGAAGACTGTGGGTCAAAGAAATCTTAAGTTATTGGGCGGACAAGCTTTTTGAAGTCAAGGCCCCTGTGACCTTGACCTTTGACCTGGTGACCTCAAAATCAAGAGGGGTCATCTACTAATCATGACTAACCTCCATTCCAAATATGAAGACTGTGGGTCAAAGGAATCTTAAGTTATTGGGCGGACAAGCTTTTTGGAGTCAAGGCCCCTGTGACCTTGACCTTTGACCTGGTGACCTCAAAATCAAAAGGGGTCATCTACTAATCATGACTAACCTCCATGCCAAATATCAAGACTATGGGTCAAAGGAATCTTAAGTTATAGGGGCGGACAAGCTTTTTGAAGTCAAGGCCCCTGTGACCTTGACCTTTGACCTGGTGACCTCAAAATCAATAGGGGTCATCAACTTATCATGACTAACCTCCATTCCAAATATGAAGACTGTGGGTCAAAGGAATCTTAAGTTATAGGGCGGACAAGCTTTTTGAAGTCAAGGCCCCTGTGACCTTGACCTTTGACCTAGTGACCTCAAAATCAATAGGGGTCATCTACTAATCATGTACTAACCTCCATGCCAAATATGACGAATGTAGGTCAAAGGAATCTTAAGTTATTGGGCGGACAAGCTTTTTGAAGTCAAGGCCCCTGTGACCTTGACCTTTGACCTAGTGACCTCAAAATCAATAGGGGTCATCTACTAATCATGACTAACCTCCATGCCAAATATGAAGACTAAGGGTAAAAGGAATCTTAAGTTATTGGGCGGACAAGAAAAAACCGACGGACAGCCGGACGGACAAGCTGATTCCAGTATACCCCCCTTACAACTTTGTTGTGCGGGGGTATAAATATATTTTGTAGAACTGTTTCTTCATCAATAAATATGTACAATGAAACTGTACAAAGTACCATCAGACCAAACCACAAAACCAAAATTGTGGTTACAACATGTCATAAATGTTAGGCTTTAAAATGAACTAATTACAATAAATTGAAATTAATACCAGTACATCTGAGATTCTAGATACCTCACTGGTTTCATATGATACAGTAATTTTAATGCTGGACTTGTAGTTAAATTGTTGTATTGTTACATGAATAGTGTGAGAACATTAAATAAAAAATAAACCACAATGTAAAACAAGATAATACAAGTACTACTACAAAGATATTATGACCTTCTCTCATTCACCATATCAAACCTATTGCAATTTTATCTTGTATATTTGTGTTAAATTTTAAAAAAGATATGCCAATCATCTAGTTTACAAAACTGAATAAAAAATTTTGCTTATTGTAAAATTTAAGAAAGCAGTGGCCTATAAAGGTTAAGAAGTTTGCTCTACAACCAAAGGATTGTGGGCCTAAGCCTTATTGGGGTCACATAACCTTGGTTCTTTATAGGAAACCAGTATTGGTTTATTCTATATAACAGTAAGCTACTGTCGTTTGGTGAAGCTGACACTAGAAATGGTTCAATAATGCTTTAAGCTTTCATTACAGACAAACTAAAAATGTGTATGTTTAACATATGATTATAATGTTCTCTGTTGTAATTATCATACGAACTTGCAATCAGCAGATGGTGAATCACTTTCACAGAATCTGCAGCACCATCAACATAACATTTGTATGTACCAGCATCTGTCATTAACACTGGATATATTTGCAAGTTCCAGTATCCCCCTCCATCTGAAATAATATAATTGAGCCGCGTCATGACAAAACCAACATAGTGGGTTTGCAACCAGCATGGATCAAGACCAGCCTGCGCATCCACGCAGTCTGATAAGGATCCATGCTGTTCGCTATCAGTTTCTCTACTTGTTATAGAGTTTGTAAGCGAACATTTTGGATCCTGATCAGACTGCGCGGATGCCAGTTCAGCCTTCAGCTTTTCTAAAGGTTAAATAATTATGTTATTATTACATAAATGGTTTCATATAATTGTCTAATCAAAATGAGGTGGAAAATGAAATTTGCCATAGATAAAATAGATAAACAATAAGGAAAACTTTCGAAACCTCTAATCTAGTGGTCTGCTCTCTATATGTAAATTAGTAAAGTTGACAATTGGTTAGAAACAAAAGTCACAGACACATAATAAATAGCTCTTGGGACGTTGTGTTGAATAAGACTTAACAGTCACAGATATGATACAATTTCCAAGACATAATTACTGAAATACTTAGTTTGAAACAACAAAGAATTGTTCAGCCAAAAAATTAAAACATAAACATTTTATTATGATGAAAATATATAAATAATTAAAATTCTAAAATTATGACAGTAAAGTTAAAATGTTTACCTTGAGGTCCATATATTGAATATTTGTTCTCATAGTTCTCAGCATGTATCACAGATCCTTTAGATATAGTTATATTGTGGTCAATAAAATCCCATTTTACCTACAAAAACAACAATAAAACTAGAACATAGTGCTTGTGATAATTATGGAGTAAATAGGAGTCAGACAAGAGCTGTCCGTAAGACAGCGCGCTCGACTTTTTTATTGCTTGCCAATAAAAAAAGTTTTTGCAGTAAAAGGCAATACAAGAATCTATGTGTTCTGTCCGTAGCTGGTCACTTGTCCACCAATCAAATAGGCGAGATAAAATGTGAAATATGCATATACTACTGATTTTAATTTCAAGTACAAAAAGAGAAAAATAACTAGTTGTTTGATACCCTTGAATATTACAGCAATGTTTATATGACATAATTTATGGTAAAGTGAACAAGTGGATAGGAATGAATTTTTTTAGATTTTTTAAGTTTTTTAGTGCTTGCCTATAATACAAAACATTGACAGTTAAGGGCCATAATTCAAATAAAATCTTTGACAGAATTACCTTCTCCTGGACATGTTTGGGAATCATGATTGTGATAGTAAACAAGTATTCCAACTTTCAAATTAATATCTCAAACAGTTCAGTCAAAAAGTGGACTGGTACTAAAAACTTAACCAAGATTCTAAGTCGATAAAAGGCCTTAATTTTTTAAAAACAAATCCTTGACAGAGTTACCTTCTCTTGCGTACAGATGGGGTAATGATGTGAAATAGCATTAAAAGTTTCAAAGCAATATCTCAAAGGGTTAAGGCAATAAGTGGATTTTACCCATATTCAATGTATTTTCTAAGTCAAAAAAGGGGCATAATTCTGTCAAAAACCTTGACAGAGTTATGTCCTCTTGTCTGTTGATGAAGGTCGTGATGGTAAACAAGTATGGTCAGTTTCAAAGCAATACCTCCAATGGTTTTGAAATAAAGTGAGGTGGTACAAAAAACTTAACCAAGCTCAATACACTTTCTAAGTCAAAAAAGGGCCATAATTCTGTCAAAAACCTTGACAGAGTTATGTACTCTTGTCTGTAGATGGAGGTTATGATGGTGAACAAGTATGGTAAGTTTCAAAGCCATACTTGTAATACTTCTGAAATAAAGTGGGGTGGTACGAAAAACTTAACCAAGGTGTGACGCCAACGCCGACGCCGACGCCGGGGCGAGTAGGATAGCTCCCCTTTTCATAAAAAAGTCGAGCTAATAAAAATAACCCAAGGATGATGTTTATCTTTTCATATTGAAGTTTTACTTTACTCTGAAGCTATGGAATTGAACATTGCACAAAAATAACTGTATCATAAATTCTGAACACAGTGATTGCTATTCATTGACTATGATAAAGATTAAAGGAAAAACATTCTTTTAATATAGGATATAAATGAATGTGAGGACCGTAACCTCAAGTTTAAAGTTGCACGTTGCATATAGGCTGATATAGAAAAAATTAACTCTACCAATAAGATATTTATAATTAATCAATTGAAAATAAAAAACTTCTGTATTAATAAATAATTGACACAAAAATCACTGAATTTTACAACTTACAGTTTGTGAAGGTTGAAGATTTTTAACTTTGCACTCAAATTGGGCCACTTTACCAACTTCAATCTTTATTGTCTGGGATGTTGTTTCTATTGTCTGGCCGAAAACTGCAACAACAACCATTAAATAATTATCATTAAAATGCTTGCAAGGATAGTAAATCTAAGCCACTAGCAACTGTTCATACATACAGCCTTACCAGATGTTTAATTTACTTTTATTTATATTTAGATACTAAGAAATCCCTGAAACAGCTCAATGGACTGTAACCAAATTCAAACTAGTCCATTTCTAAAATTCAGCAATTATAAGGATGAAAAAGATCATGTGATTTTAATTGGTACATATGAATGTACTGTCATCTCAATTAACAGAAACACAATCACTATATCCAGTGTGTCCAGAAGTGAGAATACTCAGAGTGGTGAAAAGCATCATCTTCTTTTAAATTGGTTTCTTTAAAGCCAGAATTCATAAATTGAACACAACTTACTGACATGTATATTTATACAATTTAACAGCTAGTCTTCTCAAGAAATATTACATCAAGACATTGTCTCAAAGCTCAACAGCTTCTGACATTAAAAAACAATCATCAACTTTAACCATAAATGATTATTTTTCAGTTACAAATTGCGACACTAAACACAAATTTTCAACAGGCTGACAAAAGTTCCAGTAGAATGACAAATTTCCTTTTTTTGACTAACGAAATCTAATTTTTGGTAAACAGTTGACAAAAATCAAGCAAACTGACAATTTATTGGACAAACTGTCAAATGTTTAGAAAAGTTAAACAAATTTTGAGAAAATTGACAAGGTCTAAAGTCAATTCATAAATCATTTAAAAACAACAATATAGAATTACATGAAGCAAAAACTTAAAGGAATCATAAGAACATACCTGTTAAAATGCTGGCCAGAAAAATGGTAGCTTGATACATAATTGTCTCCATATTGACAATCTCACTTAAATCTTCATGTTAAATTCCCTGAAATATATATAAAACATACTGTTTCTAAGGCAATTGCTGTAATTTGCTCTTATATATTTTTCTCTGTCATTCATTGAGGAAATCAATAATTCCAACTTGGAATCACTTAGCACTTATCATTCACAAGTAACTAAACAGCCCCTAAAAATAATTCACAGTTGCATTCATTGTTAACATATTGACATATGAACAATGATTTTGTTAGCATGTGACATAAATTAAATGAATCTGGAACTCCCCTTACAGCAAGGCTTGTAGTATGACATTTTTTTATAAAATTTACTTTTTCACTGTAACCCTAGATTATACATTTTTAACATGTCCTATAAAGTTATTCACCCGTTAAAAAGTGCAGGTTAAATGTAAACATGTTAAAGTGAGAAAATAAAACTATTATACAAGACGTTAACATTTACCAACTAAGTTTCTTGTCTTTATTACCATTAGATATTATCCTCTTCTTTTTACTTAATTACCCTTTTGTTAAGCTTACAATGCAGAAAATATAAACACAGATCTTTACATACTTCAGTTAACCTGCGTCCGTTAGATGCCAATTAGTCAAAATGTATTTTTACACTGAAATAACGATTTTCAAGGCAAAGCCAAGTCCAAATCTCGTTGTTATAAACAAAGCAAGTTAAAAGTAAAAAAAAACAGTGCTACAAACAAATATTGGAACTTGTATTATCAAATCCAAATTCATCGAAATACTGACTCTGCTTAAGCTGAACTCCAATATCTGTCATGGTAATAGGTATGAATATTTCCAATGCTCCTATATTTACATTACATTGATAATTTCATTAGCACTCCAGTAAAGTTCATAAGTTTATACTCAGCATCTTACATATACATGTATATTATATGTTTGTTACCAATACATGTATATTATCAACTTACCAACAACTTATCAAGACTATACAAAGATGGATAAAAATTCCTTACAGACATAAAACCTGAACATCAATTTTTAAACAATGAACAAAGTGCTCTTAAACTATTTATCACAGTGAATAAAATTAATTTATATCAGTATGTACCCTACAAAAATTTTTACTAGCATATTCAGTTACAACCTCTCAGAGCATGAAATGTACATGTACAATGTACAATGGTTTTGTATTTTTTTAAAATTTATTTATTCAAACTGAAACATTTAATAAAAAGCTTTTACTTTTACTTATTACATTAAAATAAAAACTTTATTTTTTATTAATATATTCTTTGAGTGGCAAACAATTTCAGAAGCATTTTCATAGAGACCCCAACCTTTAATTAAAGTAATCTTTCTCAGTATATATCATAAGATACTAAATTGGGGTCCATGGCACTTAAACTATATGTGTACATATGAACATATGATTTAGTGGTGTAAAACAAATATGCACAACAGAGCATGTGATTGAAGGGGATTTACATGTAAATCCTGCCCAGGGTGCTATGGTTATGCATAGGCCATTAACTTGAGAAATAAAGAAAAACAAGAGAAAATATGGAATCTGACAGCCTGCCACAGTAGGTGCCACTATGGCCATTGAAAGGATATGAAATCATTGAAATTATTGCATGAATTCACCACAGGAACTTGAAATTCTATCAAATAACCAATATTAATTATAATATCCAAATATACCCCCTATATACCATAAAAAAAACACATGTTTTTTATAGTATATAGGGGGTATATTTTGCATATTATCGTTAATAGTGATAGAATTTCAAGTTCCTGTGGAATTCACTATTAATTGGTAAAAAACCTTTTTATGATAATGTACTGAACTACTTAAACTACACAGTTTACTTACATTATGGTTAACCTGATCTACATAATTTATGCATTTTTATCATTATGATACTAGTAATTTACCTGAAGCATTTTTCTAGCTACATATTCATAGCTCAATAATTTAATATATGTTTCTATAACTTTATGAATTTCACTATAATATTTCAACATAAGAGAAGTTTGGGAGCAAATGTAGAGTTTATATTATCACATTGCTTAGGATGTACACTATTTCATATGATACATGTATAGCAGAAATCTTCAAGCAATACTTTATCAATGAACATAAAACTGCGCATGGTGGCGGTTCTTGATTACCTCTGAAAATATTTTTCAAAAATATAATATTATATTTTCCATATTTATGTACATAACAGAAGGAAATATTCCCCCGTGTTTTGTCCTACAATATTTCATAAAATCAAAAGAAACAATTTTATCATTACATTTACAAGGAAAAATGTATTTGTTTAACTACAATGTGTTACTATCAATATAGCTTATGTAAACTTAAACACTTTAATAAATCTGCTTACCTCAAATGTAATAACTTTTTACAAAAAGGAACAATATCTAAATGATCATAACATCCAGCTACATGTATAACATAAATATAATGTGTAATGTGTAAAAGAAAACTTGGAAAATATAGAAAATTTACAAGATAAAATTTGTATGTGGGTTGACAAATCATTTAGTTTACAAAGAACAATTCTGGGATATAGGGATTATGTTTCTTTTGAAAAGATCATAAAACTGTAACTTCAAAGCTAAACTGACATTTCAAGACAGAACAAAACAAATCAATTATTGAAAGAAACATTTTCAAAGCATTTTAAACACAGAGGCTACATAATCTGAGTGTATACCCTACCCAGAGCCCTTGGTGTTGTAATATAGATCCTGTAAAATAATGTTTTTATGGTTTTAAATCATAAATATGATGCTCAAATTAAGATTAATCACTATTATAGGTTCCAAAAAGCATTATTTTTAAAGATATTACCGAATTTAACATTTCATGTAAATAAAGGGAGGTAATTAGAAATTGATTTTCTATAAAGTTTGAGTTAAATTTTCCAATAAGAAATGAATGACTATATTTTAATGATTACATAATATTATAATATGCACAAACATTTGCAGTACATATTTTAAATATTATTTGATGTTTGAAAATTGTATTACTAGCATAATTATGTAGTAGATATAAGCCGAAAACTGTCCAATATGTAAAATATTGAATTTCATGAGGCGCATAGCGCCGAAGGGTTTTCAATATTTTACTTATTGGTCAGTTTGAGGCTTATATCTTACTTAAATTACTACTTTTACTATCAAATATCATGTTATCTATCGAAAAATTAGAAATAATGTATTTTTGAGCTAGAAATGTACAATATTAATGTTTAAGCAATTATCTTTTTCTTACTTGCAAAACCCTACAGGTAGCCTCTTGAATAACAAAATGTCTGTAGCATGAAATTTTCGTGTTTGAAATATGACCAATTATGTACATGAACACAATGATATACAAAAAATATACCAGTTACACAAAATGTTGGACTTACACACATACAGTATACATGAATTTACATTTGGGATTTTTACAAAGAATAATAAAAATGAAATGTTTTCAAATTTGTGTTGAATCACAAATATTTTAAATGATTGACTGAAACAATCTATGACTTTAAAGAAGATTTAGTGTTAAAATGATATTTTTACTTTACTACAACTATCACGAATATTAAATTTTGGATATTAATGCAACAAAATGATATTTTCTTACTTTTGAATTCATATTTGTCATACCACAGGAGTCTGGAATTGTTTCTTTATATAAGCAGTCAAACATAACCGATTTTTTTTAAAATTTTATTTAAAAGTTGACCATTACCCTTATTTAAAAAGTTGACCTAACTGAAACATATCGTACATACAATAAAGCAAATCATGTATGATTGTCAACTTAACATATACATGTATTTAAAACAGAAAAAACGGACAATAGACAAGAAATTAATCCCATAAAAATCATATCTTAACTGACGCTTCGCTGTCTTTCACTTGGAAAGCTTAAACAGTGATATGATGTTAAGAACTTAACATATACATGTATTTAAAACAGAAAAAACGGACAATAGACAAGAAATTAATCCCATAAAAATCATATCTTAACTGACGCTTCGCTGTCTTTCACTTGGAAAGCTTAAACAGTGATATGATGTTAAGAGCTTGAAAATCGAAAATCAGTAGGTTTGGAATAATAATTCGTTAAATGAGCCAGAGAACAAGACTTAAGTATTGTTCTGTTCGTAAAATTAAGTAAAATGCTTAATGGGCGAAGGAATGACATTGCATCATTCCTCGTGCTAACTTCTGAGACAAGAGGTTACAAATTACTTAATCGTTTTTGTTGTTTTTTTTCTGTTTTTTTTCGTTTTTTCTTTTCTTTTTGTGTTCTTCTTTTATTTGGAGAATTTTCCACAAAATCCTGTGGTCATACGAGACGGCACACTGTCTAATATTAATGTGTTACACTATTAATATTGGACCTACACATTAATATTGGACACCTACAGGTACTGTATTAAAAATACAGTACGGTCAGAACAAAGGAATGACGTCATAGTAGTAATTTAAATACATATATATATAATTTTATTGTGTGTGGTTAACCACTTTACACACAACATACAGGATCTAAAAAGCCTCATTTGGGTAAGATAAATGACAACTAATTGAACTTTAACACTTTCGCTGCCAGAGGGTTATTGTTTTATTGTTCACCTATTTGCCGGAGGATTTTCTAAGAAATTACTATATTATTAATTAATATAATTATTATTATTTGTTATTAGTATTATAATAATTATATATGTTTCTAAATCTGTTAGTATAATAATAATTATTGTCGATGGTATAATTTTCTTTATATTTATTATTATTTTTATTATTATTATTATTAATTTATTATTATTACTATTATTATTATTATAGAAACGGCTAAAGCCGTCCATATGGCAAATACGCCGAAAATAACAGGGACAGCTTAAGCCGTCCCTATGGCAGTGAAAGGTTTTAAAGTGACATTATGCCCATGCTAAGTGTATATCCGTAAATGAACAGGACTTTAAGTTTACATTTTTTCATAATTCCTTCAATTTTAATAAAAAAAGGGACATTTCTGTAAATATCCACCAGTATTTACCTGCAACATTTAATTTATACAGTCTTTTTGATTAGGCAGATTTATATTATAGCCTAAACACATTACAATATCAACTGTTGGTCAATCAACATTATAAAAGTCAATCATTTGAAATATACACTCAAAGCAGCTCAGCTTGTTAATGAAAAAATTAGCAAAATATCACTTTAATATAATCATACAGATGGTTGCTCAATTTTTGAATTTTAATTCAGAAATTAATGATTGGACTTTCTACATTCAAAGTAAATCAAGAGTGTCATTTTATTATACAAATTCCATGAGAAACAGGTTTAAAAGATGTGTATCATAGGTTCTATTTTACCTCTCAATTAACTTTAAAGACCTATACATATTAAATTATTGTACATATATTTCTAATATTTTCATCTTTTCATGCAGTAAAATCTGTCAAGCATTTAGTCATAATAACTGGTACATAATACATAATAGTTGTAATACGGAATTTGGCAAATGTGGGTTTATCCAAGTTAATCATAATCCAAGTGACACTTTTAATTTTGTGCATGTTTAAGGCATGAAAGTTTTCAGACTTTACCAGAATAAATCACTTTATTGGAAAACTAGATCAATTCACCAGAACAATTTTTCTTTATTTTTATAAAAATACAGTAAATTTTGATTTCAAGAAAGAAATCCAACACAGATTTTAAGTTTTTTTTTTACTTTTACTTTGTTAAACTGAACATGTATTTTATTATATTGTTATCAAATGATGACAGTTTACAAGATCTTTGATTATATTACATGAAATGGGGTTTTCCCTCTACCTTGCTTATACTGTTGCAGGCCACCCCACCAACACTAAATCCTTTTTTATTGGGACCTGGCTCACTGTTGCGCAACAATGATGGCTGGCTTTTTAACTTCATCTTTTCAGCTTCAGATACCACATCCTTTTACAGAACCACTCCAAAAATAGAAGCTGGACAAGACTAGTTCTTATAAAGATTTAAATAATCTGTTTACTTTAACTGGGTGAAACATCTGACCTACTTAAACTCAAAGCTGCAGGTCTATAAATTTAAGACTTGTGGTTTTAATATATATTTTAGCTTTTAAGAGCTCTTTAAAATAATTCACATTGTTATTAAAATAATTCACATTGTTATGAAACAAGCCTAAAATATAAATAAATAATGATAATATTATTCTGTTGAATGTCAAAGTATTATAAATTTACACAATGTTTACATTAGGTGAAATTTTATTTTTGTAAGTTAAATATCTTATAACAAAAATTTACAAGAAATTTAATATTAATATTAAGCTTTTATTCTAATTTATCATCTCAGCAGATTTACTTGCTTAAAGGGACTCCACTGAGGTTTTAAAGTCATAACAATACATAAGCATAACATAACATTTGAATTTCTTACGTAAGTAAGCTGGGGCATTTATACAGAAATATATGCAAAGATGTTAAGAAATATACTTTGAAATAAATTGAAAATCGTATTTTTATGCTTTTCTTAGCCCGATTTGAGTGAAAAGCATTTAATAAACGCTTTTCAATTTTGGTCATTTTTTTACAATTTGAACAATCATTCTGGAAAAACGAAGTGCGAGAATGATCTAAAATTTTGCACAAAGATTAGTGGTCTTAACCTACATCAAATGAACATTTATCTGAAAAAAAATATTTTTTGTCCCATAATGTCAAATAAATTTAATGCATAATTACTAAAATTAGAAATAATATACAATCACTGAAATTAGAAATTACAAATACCATTGTTTTAATACAATCATATTTCACATCTTTACAGCAAAAAAAAGTCCTTAAGCTTCATAAATTAATAATTAAAAAAAGTGTTTGTAAATAACTGTGAAATTACTTTATGAAAAAGTTATCAATGTAATATTACAAATAAAATATTTTAAACATACCAAAAAGGTAGTAAATCCTTACTTAATATTGATTTAGCTTTAAAACATATCTGTGTCCTAAAAACCTCGCTCATCCGTTAAGATTCAGTCACGTATCTGACAATAAACATTTTATACTTAACCCAGGATGTTTTAAAAGAACCCTTATATAATTAATCATTTATGTGGAAGATTGTAATGTGTTTATTATATTGAAATAAGCTATTTTCTAGCTTATATAAGAATTTAACTTTGTTCAATGAGCAGCCTACATACTTTTAAATTCTCTGTAATAGCATACTTAATGCTTTAATGGTTATTAACCATGCATTAAAGTTGTTTTAGAGGCATTCACAAATGTAGTCAATCACGTTTTAAGCATCGTTCAAAATTTCACACCGTAGACCAAAACCATGGTTCAAAAAACTGTTAGTGTTACAGTAACCTATGGTCACGTTTAAGTCAACCAGGGTGATATAAGGTGACAAGTCCCTGTAAAACAGGAGAAGAAAACCACTGGCACTAAACGGAAAGAATATGTGCATAATATTCCAAACTTTACTCCATTTTAAACTTCTAATAGCTTTATATACCACATCATTCATCACTACTGTTATAATAACCCACTATATGAGTATAAAACATCAAATTGCCTCAATAAAAGCAGGAAAAGAAATGTCAACATACCACTTTTTAAAAAATCATAATTGGCAACAAAAATACCAGTATAACAGTAATACCAGGCTAATACAGCTCGATTTCGCCATTCCTTTCATTTATAATGTGTTTACATCAATACTGACAGATAGGGGTGTCCATCATTCTGATATAAAAGAATACTATCACCAAAATCTTTAACCAGTAAGCAATTACTCATTTTTTATCAGTTCAGCCTAATAGCATAGTCACAGGTACAGTGTTTGCTTCATAAATGTAAATCCAGGTTCGAATCCTGAAAAAGGCACTTTTTCTATTATTTTTTGTTTAAAGATATTTTTCAACTAAATGGATTTTGGTATTTTAACTTGTGAATAATTATTTCATTCACACACTGCTATTGAAAACATTCAGTTTTACACATATTCAAGAATAGTATTTTTCGAATTACAGAAATGTTACAGAGTATTAATTTTGAAGACCAGATTTATTTTAACACAAATCAAGTGAATACTAAAGTAATTGTAACAAAAATTAAGGAAAAAATTTTTGATGTAGAAGTTAATAAATGGAAACAATCATTAGAGTGTGTGTCATCTATATCAGGAAATGGTAGAAATAAGCTAAGAACATATAAAATGTTCAAGAATGTTTTTGAAACTGAAACTTATGTAAAAGAACATTTGCCTTTTCATTATCGAAGAGCTATGGCATTATTTAGATGCGGTGTTGCACCGATAAGATTGGAAACGGGGAGGTATGAAAATCTGTCAATACATGAAAGAACTTGTTTTAACTGTACTGATACTGTAGAAGATGAGATACATGTTATGTTACACTGTCCACTCTATTTACAATTCAGGGAAGACCTATTTGAATCTGCGAGAACAATTGTTAATAATTTTGACAACTTATCTGATGTGGAGAAAATGCATAACGTTTTTGTTAATCCATTTTTGACTAAGTTTACAGCCAAAGCATGCTTTAATATTTTAAAACATAGACGTCTTTTACTTTATTGTAGGTAACTATTTCTCTTATTAAGTAGGTATTTAAGATAGAGTGTTGTGAATCTTACAGATTGAATTTATTTTATTATTATACATTTTAGTATTTTATTTCTCTTAAATTTCATTAGAATTGTTATACATCAGACTAGTGAATTGTTTTATATATAGACTTTTAGACACATTAGTAGGAATATGAAAGCTTAAAATGATAGATTCACAGCATTCCCAATTCATTTATTATAAGTGTGTATAGTATATAATCATATAAGTATGTAAATATGATCTTTTATTATATTTACCTATAGATGTAAGCTTTGCTTACACGTCTCTTATAATTCTATATTGTATATTTATAATACTGATTATATTCCTTGATATAATAGGACTGTCCCATTATATAAAATCTGTGACCAAAAGAAAATGTAGATGGTTTAGTTTTAAGGCCAGAACATAATACTTCATAATTACATAGTATTACATTAGCTATATAAATGGTGAAGTTCAAAGAACCCGTGACACAGCAGTTACCTGATTTTGTGCTGACGTCAAAGGATTACACTTATCAAGACTGTAGGTCTACAACGAATGTGCTGAACAGAACTGTATTAAACAACATTGATACCCGGTAAGCATGGAAATGGCATACATGGAAGCAAAAAAGCTACAGCACAGGACAGGTGACAAAATAAATCAAAGCACAGATGGCGCTGAATTTGTTTGGGTCTCAGAATGTCAGAAAGGTGAAGGTTGTGAGATTATAAACCAATTTGTTTTTGTATAGTGCCACCAATGCTTTCCAGTGTTTTAACTGTAGTAAATATTGGCTATAAGACTAATTGCAACACTGATAGTCAATTCAATGTTTATTTGACTTAAAAAAAATTTTAAACCAGAAGGCCATGATGGCCCTGAGGGTGCTCACCTGTATATAGCCCCCCCCCCCCAACGTTGCGGGGCCAATTTAACCCAAGGGCTTTTATTTGCACAAACTTGGTAGACACCCATAAGAAGATGTTTCATGCTAAACATCTAAGCTGTAGCTCATTGGGCTTTTTAAAAGAAGATTTTTTTAAAGTTTTTACTATACACATATAGTTAAAAACAATGACACCCCTGGGGCCGGGCCAGTTTTGACCCCAGGGCTTTTATTTGAACAAACTTTGTAGACACTTACTAGAAGATGTTTCATGCTTAATATCTTAACTCTAGCTATTTGGGTTTTTCAAAGAAGATTTTTTAAGTTTTTGCTATACACATATAAGGAAAATCAATGACCCCCGGGCCGGGGCGGTGCCAATTTTGACCCCAGGGCTTTTATTTGAACAAACGTGGTAGACACCTTTTAGAACATGTTTGATGCTAAATATCTTAGCCATAGCTCTTTGAGTTCTTTAAAAAAAGATTTTTTAAGTTTTTACTATATGCATATAGGAAAAATCAATGACCCCCGGGGCGGGGCCAATTTTGACCCCAGGGCTTTTATTTGAACAAACTTGGTAGACATTTATTAGAACAAGTTTCATGCTAAATATCTTAGCTCTAACTCTTTTGGTTCTTTAAAAGAAGATTTTTTAAGTTTTTACTATATGCATATAGGGAAAATCAATGACCCCCTGGGGCGGGGCCAATTTTGACCCCAGGGCTTTTATTTGAACAAACTTGGTAGACACCTATTAGAACATGTTTGATGCTCAATATCTTAGCCATAGCTCTTTGAGTTCTTTAAAAGAAGATTTTTTAAGTTTTTACTATATGCATATAGGGAAAATCAATGACCCCCCGGGGCGGGGCCAATTTTGACCCCAGGGCTTTTATTTGAACAAACTTGGTAGACACCCTTTAGAACATGATTCATGCTAAATATCTTAGCTCTAGCTCTTTGGGTTCTTTAAAAGAAGATTTTTTAAGTTTTTACTATATGCATATAGGGAAAATCAATGACCCCCTGGGGCGGGGCCAATTTTGACCCCAGGGCTTTTATTTGAACAAACTTGGTAGACACTCACTAGAAGATGTTTCATGCCAAATATCTTAGCTCTAGCTCTTATGGTTTTTTAAAAGAAGATATTTAAAGTTTTTTCTTTCGGTTGCCATGGCAACCAGAGTTCTGCATGGAATTAAATTCTTTGAACAATTTTTAAAGGTGACCACCAAAGGAACATTCCTGTGAAGTTTGGATGAAATTGGCTTAGTGGTTTATGAGGAGATGTCATTTAAAGTAAAAGTTTACGGACGGACGCCGGACGGACGACGGACGGACGCCGGACGAAAAGCGATCACAAAAGCTCACCCTGTCACTTTTTGACAGGTGAGCTAAAAACAGGTTGCCTCAACTGGGATTTCAACTCCAGATCTCTCGATTCATAAACGAGCGTGCAAACCCCTCGGCCACGGTAAAGTTATATGTTAACGGCCTGAAGAAAAAACATATTATTCTAAATTAGGGTTTGCATGTAACTCTTATAATTTTGACGCTAAACCTGTTGTTAACACAGATGTAAATAATCATGGAGCTTACTGTAAGCATGTATATCTATAAAGAATGAAACAACATTAGAAATCTTCGACCATTCGGGAACTACTTTGCTTGAAAATTAATGCGCCTGTCATTTGAAAATCTTTACGCATTGATCTCCCCTGAATATTTTGGCGTAAGTGAACATATAAAGGGAAGTAACCGCTTCAAAAAAGTGGACTTCTTTAGGCATTTGCAATTAACAGCATTAGGCTCTGAAATTTCGCTACCATTATTTGTTTGGTCTGACGACCCAAACAAATAAAAACAACCAATCTCCATCAGTATGGTATTGTATGACCTTTATGGGACCAGGAGTTTCCATTCTGGCCAGCAATTTATGTCTGCTACCCGACCATTAACAGATGACTACCCAAACCAAAATGTTTGCTTGTTGTAAGCTTGCGAAAACATTGTGAAATTGCCTAGAAATGCTTTCCTAAAGCTTGCTACAAGCTTGTGCAAGTTTAGTACCAAATTTTGCAGAAACAGTACAAATTTGTGACATTTTTACTGCAAGCTTGGCAAGCTTTTAGTATAAATTGGACTTATACATATACTTATCATGGTGTTTATGTCACTCATCATTTTGTTATTAGCTCGACTATTCGAAGAATATGAGAGCTATTGTAGTCGCCCCTGCGTCGGCGTCGGCGTCAGCGTCGGCGTTGGTTAAAGTTTTTTGTAAAGTCAAATATCTCAATTATTACTCGAGATTATCAATTGAAACTTACAATACTTATTTATAGTAACAAGGTACATCAGATAGACAAGTTGGATAACTCTGCCTACAATATTGACAGAATTATGCCCCTTTTCAACTTAGAAATTTTGGTTAAAGTTTTTTGTAAAGTCAAATATCTCAATTATTGCTTGAGATATTCAATTGAAACTTACAATACTTATTTATAGTAACAAAGTACATCAGATTGACAAGTTGGATAACTCTGCCTACAATATTGACAGAATTATGCCCCTTTGGAACTTAGAAATTTTGGTTAAAGTTTTTTTGTAAAGTCAAATATCTCAATTATTGCTCGAGATATTCTATTGAAATTTAAAACACTCTTTTATAGTAACAATGTACATCAGTTTGCAAAATTGCATAACTCTGCCTGCAATATTTGCAGAATTGTTTGCCCCTTTGAAACTTAGAAATTTTGGTTAAAGGTCTTCAAAGATATTTACTACTTTACACATGCACTTAGGGTCATAATTGGAGGGTCATAATTGTATGTCACTGACCAAGTTCCATAACTCTATCTTGCATTAAGGCTGATTCATATCCCCTTTTCTACTTAGTCTCTTGGTAAATGTTTACATGCAAGTTTTACATATCTCAATAACTATTAAAGATGTTTATTTAAAACTTCACATATGCATTTAGGGTCATAATTGTAGGTCACTGACAAAGATCCATAATTCTATCTTGCATTTAGGCTGATTTTTCTCCCCTTTTTCAACTTAGAAATTCATGGTAAAGTTTTGCTTGTAAGCTGTTATCTCAATAACTACTGAAGGGTTTGTGCCTTTTTTGGGACAATTTTGTGCATTCATAATAATAAAGCAGTGATTTACTTGATAAAACATCTTAATAACAAGCCTTTGAACCTTTTCTGTCAAATTTATGTATTCATAGGTAATTAGTATTATTATACTCAATAAAACACCCTTGTGACATTACCTTCTGAATAGTCAAGCCAATACTGTATAATTAGACTCTCTCTAAGGCCTATAACATGAATTTATAAAAAATTAGCCCTTTTGTGAACTTAAAAAATTTAACATTATCAAGGCTCTTTTACTATCAAGCACTTAGAATAGTTGAGCATGCTGTCCTACAGACAGCTCTTGTTTGTATTAAATTTTGTAAAAATGTTTCAACTACATTGTATATGTTTGAATTTTTAACTTGTACCTATCAAAATAAGCTTTTAAAGATTACACAGTTTTATCACATACCTCATATCTGCAACAGTTAACCTCAATGTGCTAATCCATCAAACTTGTAAAACAATGGCATTAAGGCCTGAAGATAATCTAGTATAATCATGCCATCACCAGCTGCTATAAATTGAACCATTTCAACTATCTCCTGATTAACAAACTTTATGAACATTATAATATCAAAATGTTCAGGGTTTTTTTTCCAGGATTTTGGGAACATGACCCATACCCATGGAATAAGTAATTTCAGCGATGTTTTGTTAAACATTGGGGTAAAAATGCATGACTTAATTTTGCAGTGATTAAATGAATGCAAGGCTCACTGTCTAGGATGGGATCTTCAAACATTTAAGCACCATTACAGTGAAGAAGCCCTTATTTTAAAAGGTTGAAGAAGCCCTTATTTTAAAAGGTTTTAGAATTTGTAATTCAATAAATTTATCTTGTAACATTTAATTGGGAATTTTTTTCCTGTGGATTAGGAAAATAATATACTAGATCTATTTTCAATTGGGAAAATGACCAAATATCAAGCTAAAAAAAATCCCTGATACATACTATAACAGATTCCTACCTGTCATTCACCAACAACTTCATGTACATAGAATATGTTTCACAAAATCTTTATATCATTGAATTAAACAAAAAAGTGAACATGATAAAATGAGATGTTAAAAACCAAATAACTTGTAGGAAAATAAATTAAATAAATGTTGTAGTAATCATTTTAATACTGTAGGTAATTATTCTTCCTAGATTGTACAAGCAAATGAATCCTTCGACATGGGTTTACTAAATTTCAATCATTACAAGAATAAGTTTTGGATAAATAAAATAAATCTGAGATATATGCAATTCATCAGTTAGTATTTTGTAGAAAAAATCTCATTAAAATTTCAGCAAGGCCACGCACATCAGCATGTGTCATTTTCAAGTGTCACAGCAACTGAAAACATGGGTGTCATGTGCATTCTTCTATCCAGCCAACAACATGAATTATCTTCAAGATTAGTCCAACTGAGACTATAAAAAATGTCTATACTATTAAAAAACTTTTCACTAACAAGATACTTGTGTCAGGTTTCTTTTGTCATATTAGATGTTTCTGAAGGTGACTACCCTAACTGTTGAAAAAAATGTGTCTCCTGATATAAATATTCATACATGTACTATAATGCAACATAATAATGATATACTTATGATAATAAAACTACTTTAGGAAGTGCAATACATCAGTAATATTAAAATCTTAATGGTCAATCATATAATGCACGGAGAACTTACATACATGTAAATAAATTAATAAATACATGTATCAAAAATTCAAATATATAATGTTTATAATAAATATTGAAATATAGTTGTTTTCCTTCTAATACTACATGTCCAAAAATATTGCCAAATTAAATTAGATATTATTTATCTCATGAAAGCTGCCATTAAGAATTACCTTAGCAGTTAATTATACTAGGAGAGGAGATAAATTATTTAGTTATTGAATGTTGAATGCAAAATCTCCCTTAATACAAGTTTATATCTTTTGTTGTCTAGTGACTGTGTTTTCACTATGTTAGAAAAAAAAGCTAGCCTTTCAAAAACAAAAATTTTTAAGTGAAAGAATAAATTTTGACCTACCTATCCAACCTGACCCTTTCTGGTATCATGGTTTTTTGGAGGTAAAACAAATGCATTTTAAAGGGTGGCCTTCACTAATTCATCAATTACATAAAAGCTGTCAATTTTTGACAGTGTACTATTCAACTTCGATACAAAATCAGCATAAATCACAACATGCCACTTGTGAAAATGAAAATAACAGCATATTGATTATTACATGTTTCAAGGTGGTGCTGTTTTTTTTTTGTTTTTTTTGTTTTTTTTTAAATTAAGTTCTACTGTAGTTCTCAGGCTTCCATAACTTTATATGTTGCTTTTATTTTGACGTTGTGCGACAGTAAACAGTACTATAAAACCTGTTCACAGAAGTCTCTTTAGCTAAACCATATCTTGGTTGGTATGGGAAATATTTAGGTTTTTTAAAATGCTATACTTATATACAATATTCTAGTCTTTTCAAAGAGACACCAAGATAATTTTGGATGGGCGATGTCTATATATCTATGAATGGTGAAGTGTTCAACAAATTGACAATTGTTTGTTAAAAAATCATGATACCATAGCATGCCATTCCGTTGATCATGTTACTGTTTTATGTTATTTGCCAGATGCCCTACTTAGGTTGACTTTTAGTTGAAAATTATTTGCAACAAAAGTCTCCAGAGGTTGTCATGAAAATAAGAAGTTAGCATCATCTTAGAAAAAAGTATCAAATGCCATATAAATAACGTGTGCGTGATATTATGTTCATTATGTGTATGAAAACATATTAAATTTAAACTTTACATACCTGAGTTTATACCTGTTTGTTTATTAAAGGGATCAGTTAGTGAATGTTAAATTAAGAATATTTTTACTGCATCATTAATCCATAATAAAATGCTATTAATTAGTACGACGAGATAAAATTATACTGTTTTAATATTTAAAATCAAACGTTAAATTATAAATGTACGTTCAAATTTTAAACAACTAATTGCTACTCCCTTTGCATGGAATTTTTGCGGGAACCAGGCTGATATCTGCATCCGGGTACGAAATTTCGTCCTTGCTATGAAACTAGTGTGAGCTCAACAGTGCTCAAAAGGTATAGCGACTCTCAGTATCTATGCTTTTAAAGTTGAACTTTGATTCATTTGAATGAAATTGATTCATTTGAATTTAAATGAAATTCAAAATGAATGTCTTTATAAAAATACTTCGCCTTTGTTTTATGGGGTAGAAAAAGTTATTGTTTTTGAGTTTTATGTACACAAAACTAAACGTAACTTAACTGTCAAAATGTAGATCTAATCAAATTATTCAAAGTGCAATCAGAAAGGAACATGTTTAAAGCTGCACACCTTCAGATGAGCTATTGTGGCTCAGATTCTGTAAAATTTGTATATTACCCAATGACAGAGAAACAAAATTTCACATTGTCTGATTGTTCTTTATATTATTAATTATTTATTCAAATATCATTAGGCCTACTTTACTAAAATCAGGTGTTTTGCTTTTGGAAGTGGCTAGCTGTACGGGCCCGTACGGCTAGCCAAAAGTTCTAGCCGTACGTGAGTCACGTACGACTAGCCAGGACACACTGTATTGGCTAGCCGTACGGCACTTTTCAAAAATATATGGAAGGCGGAAAGCATATGTTATTTTATGACTTTAAGCGACGATTTTAGTCAAGAAGCATGAAAATCAAGGACGTTATAACATGCAACTTTGACACTTATTAAGATTATACAACGCTTGTTCGTATTCATTTTTTTTTTTTGCAAAACGGCGTAGCATCTTTATTAAAGTGAACACACTAGGACAAATGCGGAGATTTGATTAAAATCGGCGTTTAACATGTTTAAAGACACAAAATAACATATGCATTTTCGACTTCAATATAATTTTGAAAAGTGCCGTACGGCTAGCCAATACAGTGTGTCCAGGCTAGTGGCTAGAACTTTTGGCTAGCCGTACGGGCCCGTACGGCTAGCCACTTCCTTTGCTTTTAAAGCCATTACTTTGGGAAAAATACCGAAGCTCAGTGTTTGAAGTTTTGCATTGTAAAATTGCTTAATTGTGAAAAATATTTGGTACCACAAGAAACATCCTTACACTCAAATTATGTGCTGCATTGTTCATACCAATACAAATGTCACATATGGAGCGTAACAAATACAATAATATAGTGCCAATAATTTGTCAGGAAACATCTGCCTGTTACAATACCAGAATGAACTTAAGCAAATTTGTCTGTTTTGTTATTGGGAATTTCAAATCTGTTAGGATTTTTTTTAAAGATTGGGAAAAAATAATAAGCATTTTTAATTGGGAATTGTTCTTATAATCTGACCAGTGATGAGACTGGGATAAGGCATGAAAACGAGTTAAAGTTACACTGCAGTATTCCCATACTCGTTCAGTTTTTTATTTAATATATATTAAATGTTATACAGTTTTAGGTGGGAAATATAGGACTCTATTGACACATTGAAAGCCAAAAAGTATTTTTGAAATCCTATGAATTGAAAATAGGAAATTTTAAATGCAAAACAAATCCGTTATGTTAAAAATGAAAGTTTAAATATGAAGGAGCATAGTTAGGATATGTTGCCTGCTTTTTAACTTTTTGCCATCTTATCTGTGATATGATGCATGCTACATAGCATCTGATCCCCTTTCAAAATTCCGTTTTGTTCAGTTCCGCCCATAATGTTTTCTCGTTAAGGGCACACGCTTTCTATTACTTGGGGACGATACGCAGCTTTTCATGGAATGACACTTAGCACTTGTCACATTGAAGGGTCCAATTGATAACAGCTGCATGAACACATCTGTAGATGTTTTGAAATTCAAAATTACACTATTTTCATGTTTAAATATTGAAATCTGTTTGGGCTGGTGTGAGGGGGCATGGACAATAGTTTGCACTTGATAGTACTGTCCATGAACAGGCTCAATCAAATTGTGCCTGCAACATTTTCAATTTTGCTACTTTGGACTTTATTTTCTCTATATAACAAATCTAAATAAGGGTCATTTATGATTTTATATCTTAATTGATGATAAGGGTAGCAGTGGCCTAGTGGTTAAGGTGTCTGCCTCTCAACCCAGGGATCAAGGGTTTAAGCCCTAAGGGGGCAGGGGACATATCCGAATGATGGCCCCGGTCAAATTTTTTAATAACTCAGACATGGTGTTTTGAAGGTACTGGAAACTTCTGATATTTCTCTGTCATTGTAATTCTTTCTTGTTTGTGTGTAGGAAATGAGAAGTATTTTTGGGTTTTTACCCGAAACTAAGCATTTTGGTAGCTTTGTATGTATTTCTGACTCCAAGTGGAGGTGAAAAAGTTAAAAATCAAGCTTTGACAGTTGGCGCCAAACAAGTAAGAAATTTCAGATAAATTTTGTGAAAAATCTAAACGTATGACAGACACTTTATTGGTCATTTCTGAAAATGCCATAGCTTGAACTGCGTGTTACTGATATATTTAAAGGAATCGGGCGGATTCTGGAGTATGCTGCATCTTCATGAAGATTGCCCATATTGGTATATTTTAGGTGTGATTTTGGGTGGGTGGGGGTAAATATAAATTGCTGTCAGTCATTTTTTGAAGGAGCAATGCATGCAAACTATTATTTTCTTCAATGTATGTCATATATCCTTGAATAATGCTGTGCAACTGGTTATCTGCCTGCGAAACAGATTTTGAAATATTTGGAATTGTGTTTCTGGTCACACTGAAATACAAAATTGTTCATTTTTAGGTCCCCTGCCCCCTAAAGGGTCACAACCATGTTATTTCATATAACACCAGTACTTGTTGGTTACCAGGAAATTGTACTCAAAAGTGATTAGAATAAGTTGCAAGAACTTGTTTCTCAATTGAGCTTTATAAATAAATATGTTTAAACCAAATGATGATAAAAAGTTTCGTTCACAGAATCTAAATGAGTGGTGTAGTGAAGAAACTTCAGTATCTGGAGTTTCCAGAATGTACAAAAGAAGCCCTCAACTACTTAGTGAGGACATGTGCCTCAGATCCCCACAGGGGTGTTCCAGGAAGGTCCTCTGGTGGTGAAAATGTTGCATCTGTGGTTGCACAAGATTACATTATTGAAATTTCAAGAAAGAAAGGCCATAAAAATAGGGTAAGTTAACCAATTTGATTTAGGTCAATTTAACTCTCTTAATTAACCAGGTTTTCAATTTTGAAAATCCTGGTTATTAGATTGGGGTATGGCGGGCGGATGGGCGGATGGGCGGCTGGGCGGATGGGCGGATGGGCGGGCGTCAAACGAAATTGTGTCCGCTCTGTAACTCTTCAACCCTTTGAAGAATTTTGATGAAACTTCAGACAAATGTTTACCACATCAAGATGACGTGCAGAACGCATGTTCCGCATGGCTGGCTCCAAGGTCAAGGTCACAGTGACATTAACATTGAAAATCCTGTCCGCTCTGTAACTCTTCAACCCTTTGAAGAATTTTGATGAAACTTCAGACAAATGTTTACCACATCAAGATGACGTGCAGAACGCATGTTCCGCATGGCTGGCTCCAAGGTCAAGGTCACAGTGACATTAACATTGAAAATCCTGTTTACATGATTTTAACTTGATTTGGCAGTCAAAGGTCATATCATCTTTGGAGGTAATTTAAAAAAGATATGATATATTATTTCATGTCTACTTTGTAACTTGTTTTTCATTATACAGAATTATCAATATAATTATAGTGAACAAATTCTTCTGTGCTGAACTCGTCCTACATTTCTCAACGGATTTTGTTCAAACTTTCACAGAAGCTTTGTCATCAAGCACCCTGGCACATATTGTCGGGGTTTTGTGATTGGATAGTTTTTGACCTAATTATGGCCCTTTGTTTTTTTCCTTATACATAATATTATAGTGAACACTTCTTCAGTGGCAATTCCTCCTACATTATTCATGTTTTACATTGCACATAGTTACATTGTTTGTTGCTTGTATTTGTATTTCAAATACAACATATTTATCTACAATGGTGATAATTGAAAACCTGGTTTCATGGCATTGCCATGTTTCTTGTTTTTTTTTATGAAGTGATATAGACATTTTTCATGCTTCAAATCTTGAAAGTTGCTCTGTATTAATCATTGTAAATTATTAACAGTACACTGAAAAAATGGTTTAATGTTGGTGTATAGATCTAGGTAAACATTGTAGTAAGTAGACTTATCTTTGATACTATCGCACACATTCTGTAGAAGTTAATTAAGAACTTTATTCCTTTTTTTAAAAATTTAAGATATTTGTCATGTTCATTGCCTGATTGACACCTACAAAAGTTATATAAATCATGGTCCATTTATATAAATCATTTAGGTCCAAAATAGCCCACCCTTGGAGTTGATTAGATTATAGAGACTTGTATAATATATATATCTTAAAATCTTCTCCTAAAACTAAAATGCCCAAAAGCAAAGTTATTTAGAAAATAACATCACAAAACTAGTATTACTAGTAAATTTTGATCCTATAATAAGAATGTGTGATCCCATCTTGCATAACAGAGTTGCGGCCGGTTAAGTGGCAGGTTGTTTTAAATTTATAATCTGATTTACTTCTTTCAGAAACTGAATTCAGTTAATGAACTTCAACTTCTTGAGATGTTATGTTCAGCTTTACAAGAGGCTCCAGAACATGCTTGTTACAGTGTATTCACTGCCATATTTGGTGGCCATGTTGACCCAGTTAAAATCAGTCTTATGACCAAACTGGTATCCATGGCAATATCTATCAGCTGCAGTCCTGTGCTCGGATGTGCTGCCTTATGGATGCAGGTTAATATTTTCAGAGTTTAAATCTTTAGAACTTATTTTCTACATGTATCTTGTGTTAAACATTTAGTTAAAGTTACTATACTGTACTTACCTGATTTCTTTTCTGTTTACTGATATGATATGGAAGGTTGATAGCTGTGTTCTTAGAGATATTTGTAGGGTATCATCTTTGAGTGTAAATTTTTCAATCTCTGACTAATTCTTAATACCTTTCATCTTGATATCCCCAAAATAAATAATGGACAGCTACATAAATGTATAAAATGTTTTTAATCTCCCAACAGGAGCAGGGAAGTCAGAGTCAGTGTGTTTGTGATTTGGCCCAGAAATTGGTAGATGACTACTGCATGTTGTATCCAAATGTTAGCAAGGCATTCAAGAACCTGCCTAAAGTATCATCATTGTTTACATGCAATTTTATGACAGCCCTGACAACTATCTACCCTTATACAGGTATGTTAAAACTTGCTTGTTTGAAGATATACTATAATGTCCCTTTAATTAAAAGTTATTTTTTCTCTTTGTGAAAATTGTTTCCCTGTTTGATATTTTCATGAATATATATTTATATTACCATCTGTTTACTATGCCCAGGAAAACCGATTTTGTATGGTTCTGTGTTAATTTTAATCAATTATTTATTTCTTAAACTTTGTACAAAATGTAGTCAGCCCCCCCCCCCCCCCCCCAGTAGTGAGAGAATCAGATTAGAAATCACTAGTTTGAACCTCATGTGTCACGAATGTAGGACAAAACCCCACACCTCAAAACCCCACACCTCAAAATTTTATGGAGTAGACAAAACCCCACACCTTCAATTTTATAGAGTGGATATAACCCCAAACCTTCTAATTATTTGTTATAAAACCATACAATTCATATGATTTTGATCTTGTTAGAAAAGAATAAATAGAATAATTACACAAGTTTGATATAGTTACTTTAATTATTTTACATAGTTCCTTTGATCATGATAATTATAATGGTATATTATATTTTATTAATATATAATACAATATGATTAAATAATAATAGACTATACAAATATTACAAACTGTTAAATAAAAATCAAAGGATAAGCATTCAAATATTACAAATGTTATATAAAAATCAAAGGGTAAGTCTTCATTAATCTTAATTTGCATTAATTATTCAAAGTGTCAACAATGTCACTTATTGTCTCTCACCGCTGATTCAGAAATTATGTGTGGGATTAGTAGTCAGTCACTTGCAGAAATTGGTAATCCGGAAAGCCAGTTAGATATGACAAAAAATGATCAGGCTTAAGAAATAGACATATTGTACTGAAAGTAAATATATTTTAAAAATACATTATATATACATGTACTGTGAAAAACCAGTAACTTAATTTATGTGATTTCATTTGATTTAGATGCCAGCAAGTCACCTCCTCCAGTTTTGTTAGAGTGTTTTGTAGACTGGATCTCAGCTGATTCTTGTTTGTGTTCAGACTCTGTAAGACTTGTGCGTATCCAGTCAACATTTACCTGTCCAATCGGTGGACTGGTACGCTGGTGCATTCTTGGACCTCTTGTGACAAATAGTATTGATGCAGACACAAAAACTTCAGAAATAGTAAAAAGTGAAAGACCTAGTGCTTCAAAGACAGGGAAATTCTCTTCTGAGAAATTGCAGAGTTTATTTTCAAGGTTACACCTTGCAGTGCTTCAAAGCTTACAAGCTTATAAAAGTATGGGACTCCAAGAGCAACTTTTGACATTTACAGATCTATTTATAGTGTCAAAGACACTAGCAGTATTTTATAAAGGTGGACAATGCACAGAGCAGTTATTGTCTGTTGTAAATATTTCCACAGACAGACTTTCTCAAATTATACAGGTTGCGTTGACTACCAACAGTCTTTCAGGTAATATCATGCTGTAATTCTATTTTATATCATATTTAACAAGCTTCTATGGTTGGAGATCAAATTGTTGAATTTTGCATAAATTAGGTTAAATCACTTTGTTATTTATGTAATGATTTGATTCATACTTGGACAAAACAACTCATATGACAAAACCTTTGAAAAGATTTGAAAAGGCAACATACATGTATATGATAAAACCAAAATGCAGAATGATTTAAATATGATATTGACCTTAAAATGACCCTGACCATGAAGGTAGGATTATATAATTTGTCAAAATCGTCATTACTTCTTCTGCATAAATTGACACTAAAGACAACATTAGTATATTAGATACAATTCATGTATGACCGTGGAAACAAACTTTTGATTAAACTTTGTGCAGAGAAATGATCTTTTTTGAAAACCCATCACGTCAATATTCATATTCGGAAATGTTTATTTATAAGTTTTAGCTTGATGATAAAAGCATATTTAGTGTTTACCTTTATAAGCCTTCATGGTCAAGTGGTTTAGTGTTAACTTCTAACCAGTTGCCCCTTTCTTCTGAGGATTAATATATTACATAGAGGTCTTCCTCCATCAGTAAGTCACCTTATGTCACCATATGACCATAGCTATGTTATGTGAAACTAAAAAAAAATGCCAATGGCTACAATGTTGATAATTAACTAGCTGATAAATTTCATCAATTATTTCAGAAAAGTTTGACATACGCCAAGTGTGTGAAGGACTACCACAGAACAGGTATATATCCAACCATTAAGATATGATAAATATTAGATCTTACACAAATTGAATTTTCATGTAGAATTAAGTTATGTTTAACAAGTCTTGGTAAGTGTTATTTAGCATGGCTTTTTAACCTTGACCTTGCTGGCAACAACCGAATCAACCAATTAAGCAGTCCAGACCAAGATCAGCCTGTACACCTTTGCTATCTGATCATGGTCTGCGCTGTTCTCTATTCAGTCAGCACATATTTTTAATTTTCCCCAAAAATTTATGTTTTATCCAGATAAAGAGATGAACAACTCAATTTTTTAGCTCAATTATTGAAGAATAGGGAGAGCTATTGTACTCATCCAGGCATTGTGTGTCAATGTTAGCATTAGTGTCTCACTTTGATTAAGTTATTGTGTGCAAGTTGGTATCTCAAAAACTACTGAAGGGAATGGGTTGAAGGGTTGAAATGTCATACACTTATATGAGAGCATAATAGGAGGTCACTAAGGCCAATAACTGACATGCATTATGACTGACAGAATTTTGACCCCTTTTGAACTCAATTTTTTTTACAGTATCCAGGCTCTTGGCTGAGAATACTGCCCTTCCAAAATCACTTGTAGATATTTAATACTGGGTTAATTTGTTAAGGGTTTATACTGTCTGTATGTAAGAAATGACAATCAATGTAGGTTTTTGTGTCGCCTCTACGGAGTAGTGGCGACATATAGGGATCACTTCTCCGTCGTCTGTCTGTCCGTCTGTCCGTCACAAAACTTGTCCGGACTACTCCTCATAAACTACTGGTGCAATTTCATCCAAACTTTACAGGAATGATCAGTATCAAGTCTAGTTGTGCATATTGTCAGCATTTTCCGGTTCAATGATTTTTGGCAGAGTTATGGCCCTTTAATAATTTTTAATTTTAAAGTTTGTCCGGACTACTTCTCTTATACCACTAAAGCAATTTCAATGAAACTTTACAGGATTGATCTGTAGCTCAAGTCCTTGCGCATATTGCAAGGGTTTTCCGGTTGAATGATTTTTGGCCGAGTTATGGCCCTTTGATAAAAAAGGTGTATTTTTCTGTGTGTTGCCAGATACACAAAACTTGTCCGGACTACTCCTCATAAACTACTGGTGCAATTTCATCCAAACTTTACAGGAATGATCAGTACCAAGGGTAGTTGTGCATATTGTCAGCATTTTCCGGTTCAATGATTTTTGGCAGAGTTATGGCCCTTTAATAATTTTTAATTTTAAAGTTTGTCCGGACTACTTCTCTTATACCACTAAAGCAATTTCAATGAAACTTTACAGGATTGATCTGTAGCTCAAGTCCTTGCGCATATTGCAAGGGTTTTCCGGTTGAATGATTTTTGGCCGAGTTATGGCCCTTTGATAAAAAAGGTGTATTTTTCTGTGTGTTGCCAGATACACAAAAGCTTGTCCGGACTACTCCTCATAAACTACTGGTGCAATTTCATCTAAACTTTACAGGAATGATCAGTACCAAGGGTAGTTGTGCATATTATCAGCATTTTCCGGTTCAATGATTTTTGTCAGAGTTATGGCCCTTTAATAATTTTTATTTTTAAAGTTTGTCCGGACTACTTCTCTTATACCACTAAAGAAATTTCAATGAAACTTTACAGAATTGATCTGTAGCTCAAGTCCTTGCGCATATTGCAAGGGTTTTCCGGTTGAATGATTTTTGGCCGAGTTATGGCCCTTTGATAAAAAAGGTGTATTTTTCTGTGTGTTGCCAGATACACAAAACTTGTCCGGACTACTCCTCATAAACTACTGGTGCAATTTTATCCAAACTTTACAGGAATGATCAGTACCAAGTCTAGTTGTGCACTGTCCGTCTGTCTGTCCGTCTGTCACAAACTTTGTCCCAACATGAAATTGGCCATCATGAGGCGACACATGTGATTACTGATCGCTCTTGTTTTATCACATGATGGTATAAAGGCAGATATTATAGAAAGTGGCAAAATCATTATGTGACAACCAAATGTGTATTACACAGTCATGTGTAATATTAAGATATGCATTATGGTTATATTGTGTTTAACAAAAAAAAAATGAGAAAAAAGTAATTTCATGCACAACAGTAACTTCTTAATGTTTGACTGTTTACCTACTTAAAAATCTATCCAGGCCACTAGAAATTCTTTTATTTAATACCTTTACCATCATATTTAGGAATCTTGTACATGTTGTATGATAAATGATGTTGATTGCTAGATTGCAATTGGGGATATTAAAATAAAATAAGAAAAGTATGCACCATTATTTCGCATCAAGTATTATAAGACCAACTAATGCCCTGACGCCTCACGAAAAACATGCCTAATATCTTATTATTAAGTAAACAAAAAATTCAACAATAGCAGAAAATTATTTTTAACAAATTTGTCTTTGTTCCTGTAGCAGTCGTACTGTTCATCTGGTAAATTAAGATATCATATCATTTGTAGAGCTTAGCATTTTGAGAATTCCCCTCTTTTCATAGTGTAAACTGAAAATTATGTTATAAAGCTCAACAAGTCTTTTATGTTTGTTTCATTTGTTGTATTTTTCAGGTTGTTGCAAATGATTGTGTCAATGAGATATGGAAAACAAGAAGCAATGGATTTATCATGAGACATTTATAGCTTAAGTGTGTCAGCTTTCTTCATAGAAAATAAAAATGACTATACAAATACCCTGTATAGCATTAAAGTTTCAATGAATAAATAAATAAATAAAATAGTCAGATAGGTTGTTGCTCATATCCTTTGCATCAATAATGTAATGTGCGATACTTTCATGCCTTCACTAAAAAAGCGCCAGATCATATACTGCGACAGGGTGGTATGTCCATATATATTTAAGTCGCGTTTACCTTATTTGGTTAATGTACTGAAAAGGTTAAAGCCATGGTCTATATACATTGTTTCCACATTGTTTCAAACTTCGAATACACAGCTTTAAGTAATCTGTTCTTATCTCTAATGAAGACCAACACCATCTATTTTTTCGTATTTTATTCATAATATTGTAATCAAATAACACATCGTAGCATTTAATGACCAAACAGTCTCTTTGAAACATTTGAAAGTGAATTGTGTTTTTCTTTTAACTATCTTTTACTAAATGTTGTGTTCTTTCATTAAGGTATTAAGACCCTAATGGGCACTATCAGAAACTAAAAAATTGACATCATAAGTCAGATGTATACCTTAAAATACACCTGTATGCAAAATTTAAACAAAGTTTACCGTACGGAAATCAAGTTATGGCCATTTTTCTGAACTCAAGCTAGGATGTTATGAGGGCCCTTTTTTAGAAAGTAGGAACCTTAAAATAATCTGCAATAACATTCTAATAAGAAATGTTTTCCCATTCATTTTTGGTAAGAAACAAATAGTACCATTCAGCTAACAATCCAAATAAGCAAAATTATGGTTTCTACTTCAAATTTATGAAATATGTATAAAAATGTTACCCTACCCCACCCATTTTTACCACGTGTCTGACCATTTTTCTACTTAGGGAGCTTAATTTAAAAAATTCTTAAAATTGACCCAAATGAGGGCCTGTTTTCAAAGTTTTCCTAAATTTTTAAAATAGTATATTGGTTGATCTTGTAAAATATGAAAGACTTTTACTGTCTAGTTTTGATTATATTACACTTTGAAAATATCAGGTACCATATTTATTACTAGATTTAGCATAATTTAGCCAATAAATACCTATATAAATTAAGAAATCAAAATTAAACACTTTTTTCTTTCTAAATGGGACATGAGAGATACATAAATAATGTTAAAAGAAAAAAAGAAAGAAAAAAAAAGTTGACCCTTCTGGGGATTGAACCCATGGCTCTCATTTTCAATGTAGTTAACAGTAGTTCTAGCCTATTTGAATACTCTTCAAAGCGGAGGTAATGCATTAGGGTGCTAATACCTTAAATGACCACTTGTCAATAGATTTCGTATTTTGCAACACCGGTTCTTTATTGAGAGGTTATCCAGTATGTAGTCCTTAAACAGCCTAATTGTAATAGTTGAATATATTTCTATATTATTTTGTTTCCATCTTTTCATATTTGAAAAAAAATGTGTGATCTTTACAATATCACTATGTTTACGAAGACTGGCCTTTATTGACAGGTTATACAGTATGTCATAATAATAGAGGTTTCTTCACAGCCATCTGATAGTTAAATTTAATGTATAGTTTTTATGCATTATCTGTTAATTTTTTAATCTTGTCTTATTATTAAATGTCAATAAAGGCCATATTTATATTTCCTAAAGAATGGTTTTTACTGAGAGGTTTTACAGTATAGCACGATGACCCCTTAAACAGTCTCAATAAAACATTTAAAAGTGAATTATGTTTTTCTTTGACTGAATGTTATGTTCTTTCATTAAATGACCACTTGTCAATATATTTTGTATTTTGCAAGACCGGTCTTTATTGAGAGGTTATGCTGTATGTCATTCTTAAACAGATTCATTGTAGCATTTAAATATACTTTAATATACATTATGTTTGTTTTCATCTTTTCTTATTTGAAAAATGTGTGCTCTTTACATTATCACTTGCCAATACAGTCCATGTTTACCAAGACAGGTTATACAGTATGTCATAATATAAGAGGTTTCTTCAAAGCTATCGCATAAGTTCATATCTGTTTCAAACTAAATCGTTACACACTTTTGATATTTCTATTACACAGCTTAGCATTCTTAATTCTAATAAAGACCAACACCATCTATTTTTTTGTATTTTATTCATAATATTGTAATCAAATAACACATTTTAGCACAGCAGTAACAACAAGTTTACACAACAACAAAATAATGTATGAAAAGCACTAAAAAGGCACATTGTATTCTGTATTATCAATCACATCTGGACAACTCACAAACCACGCTGGTCCACACTCCGGCAGCCCTATCTTGGAACGTTTGCCCACTTGTTGCTGATGATGAAGTGTTAATATTCATCTGTACATTATCGTCTGCTTCTAAACTGGACTTGATCGCTGATGCTGTCTTTTGTACCTGAAATGATTAACAATTGAATATAAAATGATTTATTCGAACGGTGAGATGATGAGGCTTTTATGTAATGCAGTTTTACATAACTATCTAATGTTATTTTTAAATAGGCAAAATATAATTAAGTTTGTACTGATAATTCGATCTGAAATTTATTAATAGTTGAATATGAACATATATGAAATCTGCTAACGAAAAACGACAAACGTAAGTACTACAGGTATAGTTCTTTCGAATACTTTAAGCGTTATATCTGTTTAACATACCTCAGTCCATTTTCTGCTGGAATACTGCTTGTACATGTGACACACTCCTTCGTTGACAGACAAACGGAGAAGTAGACGAAGATGATGAGACTGTTTATCTTCTATGACTGACATCATACTCTGCTGGTCCACATTGGCTATAGCATTCTCTGAAAAAAAGAATAAGAATAGAGTTTGAGAGCTGTTCTGCATTTATATGTAATGTAGTATATGCAATATTTAGCTTAATGTACAAGATGAAAATGAATATTTGTAGTTTCTTTCATTATTAATTCTAACAATTTTTAACTTCAGAACGCTTTATAATGATAAGAGCTTCATGTAAATGTAATGAGTATTGTTCTTACCAAGTTGTGATACAGTCATATCACTGTTGTGAAGAACCACCAACTTGTTGCGAAGACAACACGCTGCTGAGATAATGTCCATGCTGATTTATTTGTAGGCAGATGAAGTCTATTATATATTATAAGACTATGAATTTTGTGTATTAAGGTAATGACCTGGCTTGGTGTAATTTTGCTCAGTGTATATTTTATGAGGTAAAAGGTTTTATGGCTTGGGTCTTGTGCCGTCTGGATATTTATACTGCAATGGTCCATTGTTTTACAGTTTGCATTTTAATTGTTTCGTTAATTTACTTTAATAAGTTGAACACTGCTTATTGCAGAGAGATATTTTTCTTTTGATCACATGTACATAAAAGGAAGATCAAACAAAGTTAATGGCCATTTAAAATCAATCATCATTTAATTGTTTGATAATTGGATTTTTATTAATAATAATTAAAGGCTTTAATTGCGTATTTCTAATTAATTAGTTAATCAGCAAAGTAATTAGTCGAATTAAAACGATTACCAAAAATGATTGCTTAATTCAAATTTAAAATTATACTGAAAACATATTCGTTGTTACTGCGTTTTGTTGCTTAAGTTTATCTGCATTTATTGTGAACTCTTACTTTACAACCGGAACATAAATATTGTAAAATATTATTTTGTAAACCCCTAATGTATTTTATTAATACCTGGGTGAATAAAGATATTTGAATTGAAGAATATTATGAATAACAATATATATTATAAATGCCAGTATTTCGAACAGTAGAACGAATTATAGTCCTCGGAAGACAATTTGTCAATAGAATCCATAATAATATTTCCTAAAAAATCGTTTTTATTGACAGGCTTTTACAGTACAGCTTGCTTAACGGGGGACGTCTTAAAACAGTTTCATTGAACTATTTGAATGTGAATTATATATCTTTTAACTATTATTTTAATGAGTGTTGTGTTCTTTCCTTGTATGACCAGTTTTCAATAGATAGGCCTTTATTGAGAGGTTATACACTATGTTATGCCCGATGAAGCAGTCTTTAAACAGCGTAGTCGTAGCATTTAATGACCACTTGTTAATAAAGACCATATTTATATTTCCTAAAGAATGGTTTTTAATGAGAGGTTTTACAGTAAAGCACGATCACAGTCTCTTTGAAACATTTAAAAGTGAATTGTGTTTTTCTTTTAACTATCTTTTACTAAATGTTGTGTTCTTTTATTAAATGACCACTTGTCAATAGATTTCGTATTTCGCAAAACCGGTCTTTATTGAGAGGTTATCCAGTATGTAATCCTTAAACAGCGTAATTTTAACAGTTGAATATATTTTAACATTATGTTTGTTTTTATCTTTTCATATTTGAAAAAAATGTGTGCTCTTTACATTATCACCATGTTTACAAAGACTGGCCTTTATTGACAGGTTATACAGTATGTCATAATAATTGAGGTTTCTTCACAGCCATCTTATGGTTATATTTAATGTACAGTATGTATGCTTTAACTTCTTATGTTTGAATCTTGTCTTTTTATTAAATGACCACTTGTCAATAAAGGCCATATTTATATTTCCTATAGAATGGTCTTTACTAAGAGGTTTTATAGTAAAGTGCGATGACGGAGGACTCCTTAAAACAGTCTCTTTGAAACATTTGAAAGTGAATTGTGTTTTTCTTTTAACTATCTTTTACTGAATGTTGTGTTCTTTCATTAAATGACCACTTGTCAATAGATTTCGTATTTTGCAACACCGGTTCTTTATTGAGAGGTTATCCAGTATGTAGTCCTTAAACAGCCTAATTGTAATAGTTGAATATATTTCTATATTATTTTGTTTCCATCTTTTCATATTTGAAAAAAAATGTGTGATCTTTACAATATCACTATGTTTACGAAGACTGGCCTTTATTGACAGGTTATACAGTATGTCATAATAATAGAGGTTTCTTCACAGCCATCTGATAGTTAAATTTAATGTATAGTATTTATGCATTATCTGTTAATTTTTTAATCTTGTCTTATTATTAAATGTCAATAAAGGCCATATTTATATTTCCTAAAGAATGGTTTTTACTGAGAGGTTTTACAGTATAGCACGATGACCCCTTAAACAGTCTCAATAAAACATTTAAAAGTGAATTATGTTTTTCTTTGACTGAATGTTATGTTCTTTCATTAAATGACCACTTGTCAATATATTTTGTATTTTGCAAGACCGGTCTTTATTGAGAGGTTATGCTGTATGTCATTCTTAAACAGATTCATTGTAGCATTTAAATATACTTTAATATACATTATGTTTGTTTTCATCTTTTCTTATTTGAAAAATGTGTGCTCTTTACATTATCACTTGCCAATACAGTCCATGTTTACCAAGACAGGTTATACAGTATGTCATAATATAAGAGGTTTCTTCAAAGCTATCGCATAAGTTCATATCTGTTTCAAACTAAATCGTTACACACTTTTGATATTTCTATTACACAGCTTAGCATTCTTAATTCTAATAAAGACCAACACCATCTATTTTTTTGTATTTTATTCATAATATTGTAATCAAATAACACATTTTAGCACAGCAGTAACAACAAGTTTACACAACAACAAAATAATATATGAAAAGCACTAAAAAGGCACATTGTATTCTGTATTATCAATCACATCTGGACAACTCACAAACCACGCTGGTCCACACTCCGGCAGCCCTATCTTGGAACGTTTGCCCACTTGTTGCTGATGATGAAGTGTTAATATTCATCTGTACATTATCGTCTGCTTCTAAACTGGACTTGATCGCTGATGCTGTCTTTTGTACCTGAAATGATTAACAATTGAATATAAAATGATTTATTCGAACGGTGAAATGATGAGGCTTTTATGTAATGCAGTTTTACATAACTATCTAATGTTATTTTTAAATAGGCAAAATATAATTAAGTTAGTACTGATAATTCGATCTGAAATTTATTAATAGTTGAATATGAACATATATGAAATCTGCTAACGAAAAACGACAAACGTAAGTACTACAGGTATAGTTCTTTCGAATACTTTAAGCGTTATATCTGTTTAACATACCTCAGTCCATTTTCTGCTGGAATACTGCTTGTACATGTGACACACTCCTTCGTTGACAGACAAACGGAGAAGTAGACGAAGATGATGAGACTGTTTATCTTCTATGACTGACATCATACTCTGCTGGTCCACATTGGCTATAGCATTCTCTGAAAAAAAGAATAAGAATAGAGTTTGAGAGCTGTTCTGCATTTATATGTAATGTAGTATATGCAATATTTAGCTTAATGTACAAGATGAAAATGAATATTTGTAGTTTCTTTCATTATTAATTCTAACAATTTTTAACTTCAGAACGCTTTATAATGATAAGAGCTACATGTAAATGTAATGAGTATTGTTCTTACCAAGTTGTGATACAGTCATATCACTGTTGTGAAGAGCCACCAACTTGTTGCGAAGAAAACACGCTGCTGAGATAATGTCCATGCTGATTTATTTGTAGGCAGATGAAGTCTATTATATATTATAAGACTATGAATTTTGTGTATTAAGGTAATGACCTGGCTTGGTATAATTTTGCTCAGTGTATATTTTATGAGGTAAAAGGTTTTATGGCTTGGGTCTTGTGCCGTCTGGATATTTATACTGCAATGGTCCATTGTTTTACAGTTTGCATTTTAATTGTTTCGTTAATTTACTTTAATAAGTTGAACACTGCTTATTGCAGAGAGATATTTTTCTTTTGATCACATGTACATAAAAGGAAGATCAAACAAAGTTAATGGCCATTTAAAATCAATCATCATTTAATTGTTTGATAATTGGATTTTTATTAATAATAATTAAAGGCTTTAATTGCGTATTTCTAATTAATTAGTTAATCAGCAAAGTAATTAGTCGAATTAAAACGATTACCAAAAATGATTGCTTAATTCAAATTTAAAATTATACTGAAAACATATTCGTTGTTACTGCGTTTTGTTGCTTAAGTTTATCTGCATTTATTGTGAACTCTTACTTTACAACCGGAACATAAATATTGTAAAATATTATTTTGTAAACCCCTTATGTATTTTATTAATACCTGGGTGAATAAAGATATCTGAATTGAAGAATATTATGAATAACTAAATGCCAGTATTTCGAACAGTAGAACGAATTATAGTCTTCGGAAGACAATTTGTCAATAGAATCCATAATTATATTTCCTAAAAAATCGTTTTTATTGACAGGCTTTTACAGTACAGCTTGCTTAACGGGGGACGTCTTATAACAGTTTCATTGAACTATTTGAATGTGAATTATATATCTTTTAACTATTATTTTAATGAGTGTTGTATTCTTTCCTTGTATGACCAGTTTTCAATAGATAGGCCTTTATTGAGAGGTTATACACTATGTTATGCCTGATGAAGCAGTCTTTAAACAGCGTAGTCGTTAGCATTTAATGACCACTTGTTAATAAAGACCATATTTATATTTCCTAAAGAATGGTTTTTTTCAAAAAAGTTTTTTAACCCTTTTTTTAAAATTTTTTTAAATTTTTTATAAAAATTTTTTTAAAAAAATATTTTTTAAAAATTTTTTTTAATTTTAAAATTTTTTAAAAAAAAGTTTTCCCCCAAAAAAATTTTTTTTAAAATTTTATTTTTTTTTTAATTTTTTTTTTATTAATAAAAACCAAAATTTTTTTTAAAAGGTTTTCTTTTTAAAAAATTAAAAAATTTTTTTTTAAATTTAAAAATTTTTTAATTTTTTTTATTTTTTATTTAAAAAACCTTTTTAATTTTAAATTTTAAAAGAAGGGTTTTCTTTTAAAAAATTTAAAGTTTTTTTAAAAATTTTAATTTAATTTTTTTTTTCAAATTTTTTTTGAATTTCTTTTAATTCATTTTCCCCCAAAAACCCCTTTTTTTTTTTAAATATTTATAAAATTAAATTTTTTAAAAATAACCAAATTTTTTTAAAAAAAAAGGGAAAAAAATTTTTAAAATTTGATTTTTAAAATAGGGGCCCCCATTTTTAAACCCCAATTTTTCCATTTTTTGGGTAAAAAATTTAAAAAAATTTTGAAATAAAGGCCTTTTATTTCTTTTTTAAAAAAACCTTTTTTTTTTTTTTAAAGAAAAAATTACTTTTTTGGGTTTTTAAAATTTTTTTAAAAAAAAAAAATTTTTAAAGGAATTGATTGATTTTTTTTTGAATTTAAAAAAATTGAAAAAAAAACCCGGAATTAAAATTTTTTTTGGGTCTTTAAATTTTTTTTTTAAATTTTTTCTTAAACTGGGTTTTGAAATTTTTTTTTAAAACCAAAGAAACGGGGAAAAAAATTTTTCAATTTGTTTACTTTTTTTAAAATTTTTAAAACTTTTTTTTTTGGGAAAATTTGTAATAAATTTTTTTAAAAACAAATAAAAAAATTGGTTTTTTTCCAAAAAAAAAACCCTTTTACTTGGAAGCTTTTTAAAAAAAGTAAAAATAAAAATTTTTCTTATAAATTTTTTAAATGGAAAAATTGTTGACAAAAAAATTTGGGGTTTATTTTTTTTATTTTCTAATTTTAAAATTGGTAATTTTTTAAAAAAAATTTTTTTTTTTGGGCCCCTTTTATTTTGGAACAATTTTTTGGGGCCCAAATTTAATTTTGGATTTTTTCAAATTTATTTAATTTTTTAAAAACTTTTTTAAAAAAATGTTTTAAATTTTTTCCTTTTTAAAAGTAAAAAAAGGGGGGGGGCCCCTTTTTAAAAATTGAAATTATTTTTTAATTTTTAAATTTTTTTTAAATTTATTTAATAAAAAATTTTTTTTTTTAAAATTTCTTTATAATTTAAAAAAAAAATAAATTTTTACTTTTTTTTGTTTTAAAATTTTTTTTTAAAAATTTTTAAAAAAAAATTTTAATTTATTTTTTAATTTTTTTTAAATTTTTAATTAAAAAAAAAAATTTTTTAATTAAAATTTTTTTAAAAAAAAAAAAGTTTTCTTTTTTTTTAATTTTAATTTATTTATTTTTTAAAAAAGTTTTTTTAAAAAATTTTTTTGAAATTTTTTTTGTAATTAAAAGAAAAAAAAAAAAAAAAAAAAAAAAAAAAAAAAAAAAAAAAAAAAAAAAAAAAAAAAAAAAAAAAAAAAAAAAAAAAAAAAAAAAAAAAAAAAAAAAAAAAAAAAAAAAAAAAAAAAAAAAAAAAAAAAAAAAAAAAAAAAAAAAAAAAAAAAAAAAAAAAAAAAAAAAAAAAAAAAAAAAAAAAAAAAAAAAAAAAAAAAAAAAAAAAAAAAAAAAAAAAAAAAAAAAAAAAAAAAAAAAAAAAAAAAAAAAAAAAAAAAAAAAAAAAAAAAAAAAAAAAAAAAAAAAAAAAAAAAAAAAAAAAAAAAAAAAAAAAAAAAAAAAAAAAAAAAAAAAAAAAAAAAAAAAAAAAAAAAAAAAAAAAAAAAAAAAAAAAAAAAAAAAAAAAAAAAAAAAAAAAAAAAAAAAAAAAAAAAAAAAAAAAAAAAAAAAAAAAAAAAAAAAAAAAAAAAAAAAAAAAAAAAAAAAAAAAAAAAAAAAAAAAAAAAAAAAAAAAAAAAAAAAAAAAAAAAAAAAAAAAAAAAAAAAAAAAAAAAAAAAAAAAAAAAAAAAAAAAAAAAAAAAAAAAAAAAAAAAAAAAAAAAAAAAAAAAAAAAAAAAAAAAAAAAAAAAAAAAAAAAAAAAAAAAAAAAAAAAAAAAAAAAAAAAAAAAAAAAAAAAAAAAAAAAAAAAAAAAAAAAAAAAAAAAAAAAAAAAAAAAAAAAAAAAAAAAAAAAAAAAAAAAAAAAAAAAAAAAAAAAAAAAAAAAAAAAAAAAAAAAAAAAAAAAAAAAAAAAAAAAAAAAAAAAAAAAAAAAAAAAAAAAAAAAAAAAAAAAAAAAAAAAAAAAAAAAAAAAAAAAAAAAAAAAAAAAAAAAAAAAAAAAAAAAAAAAAAAAAAAAAAAAAAAAAAAAAAAAAAAAAAAAAAAAAAAAAAAAAAAAAAAAAAAAAAAAAAAAAAAAAAAAAAAAAAAAAAAAAAAAAAAAAAAAAAAAAAAAAAAAAAAAAAAAAAAAAAAAAAAAAAAAAAAAAAAAAAAAAAAAAAAAAAAAAAAAAAAAAAAAAAAAAAAAAAAAAAAAAAAAAAAAAAAAAAAAAAAAAAAAAAAAAAAAAAAAAAAAAAAAAAAAAAAAAAAAAAAAAAAAAAAAAAAAAAAAAAAAAAAAAAAAAAAAAAAAAAAAAAAAAAAAAAAAAAAAAAAAAAAAAAAAAAAAAAAAAAAAAAAAAAAAAAAAAAAAAAAAAAAAAAAAAAAAAAAAAAAAAAAAAAAAAAAAAAAAAAAAAAAAAAAAAAAAAAAAAAAAAAAAAAAAAAAAAAAAAAAAAAAAAAAAAAAAAAAAAAAAAAAAAAAAAAAAAAAAAAAAAAAAAAAAAAAAAAAAAAAAAAAAAAAAAAAAAAAAAAAAAAAAAAAAAAAAAAAAAAAAAAAAAAAAAAAAAAAAAAAAAAAAAAAAAAAAAAAAAAAAAAAAAAAAAAAAAAAAAAAAAAAAAAAAAAAAAAAAAAAAAAAAAAAAAAAAAAAAAAAAAAAAAAAAAAAAAAAAAAAAAAAAAAAAAAAAAAAAAAAAAAAAAAAAAAAAAAAAAAAAAAAAAAAAAAAAAAAAAAAAAAAAAAAAAAAAAAAAAAAAAAAAAAAAAAAAAAAAAAAAAAAAAAAAAAAAAAAAAAAAAAAAAAAAAAAAAAAAAAAAAAAAAAAAAAAAAAAAAAAAAAAAAAAAAAAAAAAAAAAAAAAAAAAAAAAAAAAAAAAAAAAAAAAAAAAAAAAAAAAAAAAAAAAAAAAAAAAAAAAAAAAAAAAAAAAAAAAAAAAAAAAAAAAAAAAAAAAAAAAAAAAAAAAAAAAAAAAAAAAAAAAAAAAAAAAAAAAAAAAAAAAAAAAAAAAAAAAAAAAAAAAAAAAAAAAAAAAAAAAAAAAAAAAAAAAAAAAAAAAAAAAAAAAAAAAAAAAAAAAAAAAAAAAAAAAAAAAAAAAAAAAAAAAAAAAAAAAAAAAAAAAAAAAAAAAAAAAAAAAAAAAAAAAAAAAAAAAAAAAAAAAAAAAAAAAAAAAAAAAAAAAAAAAAAAAAAAAAAAAAAAAAAAAAAAAAAAAAAAAAAAAAAAAAAAAAAAAAAAAAAAAAAAAAAAAAAAAAAAAAAAAAAAAAAAAAAAAAAAAAAAAAAAAAAAAAAAAAAAAAAAAAAAAAAAAAAAAAAAAAAAAAAAAAAAAAAAAAAAAAAAAAAAAAAAAAAAAAAAAAAAAAAAAAAAAAAAAAAAAAAAAAAAAAAAAAAAAAAAAAAAAAAAAAAAAAAAAAAAAAAAAAAAAAAAAAAAAAAAAAAAAAAAAAAAAAAAAAAAAAAAAAAAAAAAAAAAAAAAAAAAAAAAAAAAAAAAAAAAAAAAAAAAAAAAAAAAAAAAAAAAAAAAAAAAAAAAAAAAAAAAAAAAAAAAAAAAAAAAAAAAAAAAAAAAAAAAAAAAAAAAAAAAAAAAAAAAAAAAAAAAAAAAAAAAAAAAAAAAAAAAAAAAAAAAAAAAAAAAAAAAAAAAAAAAAAAAAAAAAAAAAAAAAAAAAAAAAAAAAAAAAAAAAAAAAAAAAAAAAAAAAAAAAAAAAAAAAAAAAAAAAAAAAAAAAAAAAAAAAAAAAAAAAAAAAAAAAAAAAAAAAAAAAAAAAAAAAAAAAAAAAAAAAAAAAAAAAAAAAAAAAAAAAAAAAAAAAAAAAAAAAAAAAAAAAAAAGGGGGGGGGGGGGGGGGGGGGGGGGGGGGGGGGGGGGGGGGGGGGGGGGGGGGGGGGGGGGGGGGGGGGGGGGGGGGGGGGGGGGGGGGGGGGGGGGGGGGGGGGGGGGGGGGGGGGGGGGGGGGGGGGGGGGGGGGGGGGGGGGGGGGGGGGGGGGGGGGGGGGGGGGGGGGGGGGGGGGGGGGGGGGGGGGGGGGGGGGGGGGGGGGGGGGGGGGGGGGGGGGGGGGGGGGGGGGGGGGGGGGGGGGGGGGGGGGGGGGGGGGGGGGGGGGGGGGGGGGGGGGGGGGGGGGGGGGGGGGGGGGGGGGGGGGGGGGGGGGGGGGGGGGGGGGGGGGGGGGGGGGGGGGGGGGGGGGGGGGGGGGGGGGGGGGGGGGGGGGGGGGGGGGGGGGGGGGGGGGGGGGGGGGGGGGGGGGGGGGGGGGGGGGGGGGGGGGGGGGGGGGGGGGGGGGGGGGGGGGGGGGGGGGGGGGGGGGGGGGGGGGGGGGGGGGGGGGGGGGGGGGGGGGGGGGGGGGGGGGGGGGGGGGGGGGGGGGGGGGGGGGGGGGGGGGGGGGGGGGGGGGGGGGGGGGGGGGGGGGGGGGGGGGGGGGGGGGGGGGGGGGGGGGGGGGGGGGGGGGGGGGGGGGGGGGGGGGGGGGGGGGGGGGGGGGGGGGGGGGGGGGGGGGGGGGGGGGGGGGGGGGGGGGGGGGGGGGGGGGGGGGGGGGGGGGGGGGGGGGGGGGGGGGGGGGGGGGGGGGGGGGGGGGGGGGGGGGGGGGGGGGGGGGGGGGGGGGGGGGGGGGGGGGGGGGGGGGGGGGGGGGGGGGGGGGGGGGGGGGGGGGGGGGGGGGGGGGGGGGGGGGGGGGGGGGGGGGGGGGGGGGGGGGGGGGGGGGGGGGGGGGGGGGGGGGGGGGGGGGGGGGGGGGGGGGGGGGGGGGGGGGGGGGGGGGGGGGGGATTATATATCTTTTAACTATTATTTTAATGAGTGTTGTGTTCTTTCCTTGTATGACCAGTTTTCAATAGATAGGCCTTTATTGAGAGGTTTTACACTATGTTATGCCTGATGAAGCAGTCTTTAAACAGCGTAGTCGTAGCATTTAATGACCACTTGTTAATAAAGACCATATTTATATTTCCTAAAGAATGGTTTTTAATGAGAGGTTTTACAGTAAAGCACGATCACAGTCTCTTTGAAACATTTAAAAGTGAATTGTGTTTTTCTTTTAACTATCTTTTACTGAATGTTGTGTTCTTTCATTAAATGACCACTTGTCAATAGATTTCGTATTTCGCAATACCGGTCTTTATTGAGAGGTTATCCAGTATGTAATCCTTAAACAGCGTAATTTTAACAGTTGAATATATTTTTACATTATGTTTGTTTTTATCTTTTCATATTTGAAAAAAATGTGTGCTCTTTACATTATCACCATGTTTACAAAGACTGGCCTTTATTGACAGGTTATACAGTATGTCATAATAATTGAGGTTTCTTCACAGCCATCTTATGGTTATATTTAATGTACAGTATGTATGCTTTAACTTCTTATGTTTGAATCTTGTCTTTTTATTAAATGATCACTTGTCAATAAAGGCCATATTTATATTTCCTATAGAATGGTCTTTACTAAGAGGTTTTATAGTAAAGTGCGATGACGGAGGACTCCTTAAAACAGTCTCTTTGAAACATTTGAAAGTGAATTGTGTTTTTCTTTTAACTATCTTTTACTGAATGTTGTGTTCTTTCATTAAATGACCATGTGTCAATAGATTTCGTATTTTGCAACACCGGTTCTTTATTGAGAGGTTATCCAGTATGTAGTCCTTAAACAGCCTAATTGTAATAGTTGAATATATTTCTATATTATTTTGTTTCCATCTTTTCATATTTGAAAAAAAATGTGTGATCTTTACAATACCACACTATGTTTACGAAGACTGGCCTTTATTGACAGGTTATACAGTATGTCATAATAATAGAGGTTTCTTCACAGCCATCTGATAGTTAAATTTAATGTATAGTATTTATGCATTATCTGTTAATTTTTTAATCTTGTCTTATTATTAAATGTCAATAAAGGCCATATTTATATTTCCTAAAGAATGGTTTTTACTGAGAGGTTTTACAGTATAGCACGATGACCCCTTAAACAGTCTCAATAAAACATTTAAAAGTGAATTATGTTTTTCTTTGACTGAATGTTATGTTCTTTCATTAAATGACCACTTGTCAATATATTTTGTATTTTGCAAGACCGGTCTTTATTGAGAGGTTATGCTGTATGTCATTCTTCCACAGATTCATTGTAGCATTTAAATATACTTTAATATACATTATGTTTGTTTTCATCTTTTCTTATTTGAAAAATGTGTGCTCTTTACATTATCACTTGCCAATACAGTCCATGTTTACCAAGACAGGTTATACAGTATGTCATAATATAAGAGGTTTCTTCAAAGCTATCGCATAAGTTCATATCTGTTTCAAACTAAATCGTTACACACTTTTGATATTTCTATTACACAGCTTAGCATTCTTAATTCTAATAAAGACCAACACCATCTATTTTTTTGTATTTTATTCATAATATTGTAATCAAATAACACATTTTAGCACAGCAGTAACAACAAGTTTACACAACAACAAAATAATATATGAAAAGCACTAAAAAGGCACATTGTATTCTGTATTATCAATCACATCTGGACAACTCACAAACCACGCTGGTCCACACTCCGGCAGCCCTATCTTGGAACGTTTGCCCACTTGTTGCTGATGATGAAGTGTTAATATTCATCTGTACATTATCGTCTGCTTCTAAACTGGACTTGATCGCTGATGCTGTCTTTTGTACCTGAAATGATTAACAATTGAATATAAAATGATTTATTCGAACGGTGAAATGATGAGGCTTTTATGTAATGCAGTTTTACATAACTATCTTATGTTATTTTTAAATAGGCAAAATATAATAACGTTAGTACTGATAATTCGATCTGAAATTTATTAATAGTTGAATATGAACATATATGAAATCTGCTAACGAAAAACGACAAACGTAAGTACTACAGGTATAGTTCTTTCGAATACTTTAAGCGTTATATCTGTTTAACATACCTCAGTCCATTTTCTGCTGGAATACTGCTTGTACATGTGACACACTCCTTCGTTGACAGACAAACGGAGAAGTAGACGAAGATGATGAGACTGTTTATCTTCTATGACTGACATCATACTCTGCTGGTCCACATTGGCTATAGCATTCTCTGAAAAAAAAGAATAAGAATAGAGTTTGAGAGCTGTTCTGCATTTATATGTAATGTAGTATATGCAATATTTAGCTTAATGTACAAGATGAAAATGAATATTTGTAGTTTCTTTCATTATTAATTCTAACAATTTTTAACTTCAGAACGCTTTATAATGATAAGAGCTACATGTAAATGTAATGAGTATTGTTCTTACCAAGTTGTGATACAGTCATATCACTGTTGTGAAGAGCCACCAACTTGTTGCGAAGACAACACGCTGCTGAGATAATGTCCATGCTGATTTATTTGTAGGCAGATGAAGTCTATTATATATTATAAGACTATGAATTTTGTGTATTAAGGTAATGACCTGGCTTGGTATAATTTTGCTCAGTGTATATTTTATGAGGTAAAAGGTTTTATGGCTTGGGTCTTGTGCCGTCTGGATATTTATACTGCAATGGTCCATTGTTTTACAGTTTGCATTTTAATTGTTTCGTTAATTTACTTTAATAAGTTGAACACTGCTTATTGCAGAGAGATATTTTTCTTTTGATCACATGTACATAAAAGGAAGATCAAACAAAGTTAATGGCCATTTAAAATCAATCATCATTTAATTGTTTGATAATTGGATTTTTATTAATAATAATTAAAGGCTTTAATTGCGTATTTCTAATTAATTAGTTAATCAGCAAAGTAATTAGTCGAATTAAAACGATTACCAAAAATGATTGCTTAATTCAAATTTAAAATTATACTGAAAACATATTCGTTGTTACTGCGTTTTGTTGCTTAAGTTTGTCTGCATTTATTGTGAACTCTTACTTTACAACCGGAACATAAATATTGTAAAATATTATTTTGTAAACCCCTTATGTATTTTATTAATACCTGGGTGAATAAAGATATTTGAATTGAAGAATATTATGAATAACTAAATGCCAGTATTTCGAACAGTAGAACGAATTATAGTCCTCGGAAGACAATTTGTCAATAGAATCCATAATTATATTTCCTAAAAAATCGTTTTTATTGACAGGCTTTTACAGTACAGCTTGCTTAACGGGGGACGTCTTAAAACAGTTTCATTGAACTATTTGAATGTGAATTATATATCTTTTAACTATTATTTTAATGAGTGTTGTATTCTTTCCTTGTATGACCAGTTTTCAATAGATAGGCCTTTATTGAGAGGTTATACACTATGTTATGCCTGATGAAGCAGTCTTTAAACAGCGTAGTCGTAGCATTTAATGACCACTTGTTAATAAAGACCATATTTATATTTCCTAAAGAATGGTTTTTAATGAGAGGTTTTACAGTAAAGCACGATCACAGTCTCTTTGAAACATTTAAAAGTGAATTGTGTTTTTCTTTTAACTATCTTTTACTGAATGTTGTGTTCTTTCATTAAATGACCACTTGTCAATAGATTTCGTATTTCGCAATACCGGTCTTTATTGAGAGGTTATCCAGTATGTAATCCTTAAACAGCGTAATTTTAACAGTTGAATATATTTTTACATTATGTTTGTTTTTATCTTTTCATATTTGAAAAAAATGTGTGCTCTTTACATTATCACCATGTTTACAAAGACTGGCCTTTATTGACAGGTTATACAGTATGTCATTATAATTGAGGTTTCTTCACAGCCATCTTATGGTTATATTTAATGTACAGTATGTATGCTTTAACTTCTTATGTTTGAATCTTGTCTTTTTATTAAATGACCACTTGTCAATAAAGGCCATATTTATATTTCCTATAGAATGGTCTTTACTAAGAGGTTTTATAGTAAAGTGCGATGACGGAGGACTCCTTAAAACAGTCTCTTTGAAACATTTGAAAGTGAATTGTGTTTTTCTTTTAACTATCTTTTACTGAATGTTGTGTTCTTTCATTAAATGACCACTTGTCAATAGATTTCGTATTTTGCAACACCGGTTCTTTATTGAGAGGTTATCCAGTATGTAGTCCTTAAACAGCCTAATTGTAATAGTTGAATATATTTCTATATTATTTTGTTTCCATCTTTTCATATTTGAAAAAAATGTGTGATCTTTACAATATCACTATGTTTACGAAGACTGGCCTTTATTGACAGGTTATACAGTATGTCATAATAATAGAGGTTTCTTCACAGCCATCTGATAGTTAAATTTAATGTATAGTATTTATGCATTATCTGTTAATTTTTTAATCTTGTCTTATTATTAAATGTCAATAAAGGCCATATTTATATTTCCTAAAGAATGGTTTTTACTGAGAGGTTTTACAGTATAGCACGATGACCCCTTAAACAGTCTCAATAAAACATTTAAAAGTGAATTATGTTTTTCTTTGACTGAATGTTATGTTCTTTCATTAAATGACCACTTGTCAATATATTTTGTATTTTGCAAGACCGGTCTTTATTGAGAGGTTATGCTGTATGTCATTCTTCCACAGATTCATTGTAGCATTTAAATATACTTTAATATACATTATGTTTGTTTTCATCTTTTCTTATTTGAAAAATGTGTGCTCTTTACATTATCACTTGCCAATACAGTCCATGTTTACCAAGACAGGTTATACAGTATGTCATAATATAAGAGGTTTCTTCAAAGCTATCGCATAAGTTCATATCTGTTTCAAACTAAATCGTTACACACTTTTGATATTTCTATTACACAGCTTAGCATTCTTAATTCTAATAAAGACCAACACCATCTATTTTTTTGTATTTTATTCATAATATTGTAATCAAATAACACATTTTAGCACAGCAGTAACAACAAGTTTACACAACAACAAAATAATATATGAAAAGCACTAAAAAGGCACATTGTATTCTGTATTATCAATCACATCTGGACAACTCACAAACCACGCTGGTCCACACTCCGGCAGCCCTATCTTGGAACGTTTGCCCACTTGTTGCTGATGATGAAGTGTTAATATTCATCTGTACATTATCGTCTGCTTCTAAACTGGACTTGATCGCTGATGCTGTCTTTTGTACCTGAAATGATTAACAATTGAATATAAAATGATTTATTCGAACGGTGAAATGATGAGGCTTTTATGTAATGCAGTTTTACATAACTATCTAATGTTATTTTTAAATAGGCAAAATATAATTAAGTTAGTACTGATAATTCGATCTGAAATTTATTAATAGTTGAATATGAACATATATGAAATCTGCTAACGAAAAACGACAAACGTAAGTACTACAGGTATAGTTCTTTCGAATACTTTAAGCGTTATATCTGTTTAACATACCTCAGTCCATTTTCTGCTGGAATACTGCTTGTACATGTGACACACTCCTTCGTTGACAGACAAACGGAGAAGTAGACGAAGATGATGAGACTGTTTATCTTCTATGACTGACATCATACTCTGCTGGTCCACATTGGCTATAGCATTCTCTGAAAAAAAGAATAAGAATAGAGTTTGAGAGCTGTTCTGCATTTATATGTAATGTAGTATATGCAATATTTAGCTTAATGTACAAGATGAAAATGAATATTTGTAGTTTCTTTCATTATTAATTCTAACAATTTTTAACTTCAGAACGCTTTATAATGATAAGAGCTACATGTAAATGTAATGAGTATTGTTCTTACCAAGTTGTGATACAGTCATATCACTGTTGTGAAGAGCCACCAACTTGTTGCGAAGACAACACGCTGCTGAGATAATGTCCATGCTGATTTATTTGTAGGCAGATGAAGTCTATTATATATTATAAGACTATGAATTTTGTGTATTAAGGTAATGACCTGGCTTGGTATAATTTTGCTCAGTGTATATTTTATGAGGTAAAAGGTTTTATGGCTTGGGTCTTGTGCCGTCTGGATATTTATACTGCAATGGTCCATTGTTTTACAGTTTGCATTTTAATTGTTTCGTTAATTTACTTTAATAAGTTGAACACTGCTTATTGCAGAGAGATATTTTTCTTTTGATCACATGTACATAAAAGGAAGATCAAACAAAGTTAATGGCCATTTAAAATCAATCATCATTTAATTGTTTGATAATTGGATTTTTATTAATAATAATTAAAGGCTTTAATTGCGTATTTCTAATTAATTAGTTAATCAGCAAAGTAATTAGTCGAATTAAAACGATTACCAAAAATGATTGCTTAATTCAAATTTAAAATTATACTGAAAACATATTCGTTGTTACTGCGTTTTGTTGCTTAAGTTTATCTGCATTTATTGTGAACTCTTACTTTACAACCGGAACATAAATATTGTAAAATATTATTTTGTAAACCCTTATGTATTTTATTAATACCTGGGTGAATAAAGATATTTGAATTGAAGAAAGAATATTATGAATAACTAAATGCCAGTATTTCGAACAGTAGAACGAATTATAGTCCTCGGAAGACAATTTGTCAATAGAATCCATAATTATATTTCCTAAAATATCGTTTTTATTGGCAGGCTTTTACAGTACAGCTTGCTTAACGGGGGACGTCTTAAAACAGTTTCATTGAACTATTTGAATGTGAATTATATATCTTTTAACTATTATTTTAATGAGTGTTGTATTCTTTCCTTGTATGACCAGTTTTCAATAGATAGGCCTTTATTGAGAGGTTATACACTATGTTATGCCTGATGAAGCAGTCTTTAAACAGCGTAGTCGTAGCATTTAATGACCACTTGTTAATAAAGACCATATTTATATTTCCTAAAGAATGGTTTTTAATGAGAGGTTTTACAGTAAAGCACGATCACAGTCTCTTTGAAACATTTAAAAGTGAATTGTGTTTTTCTTTTAACTATCTTTTACTGAATGTTGTGTTCTTTCATTAAATGACCACTTGTCAATAGATTTCGTATTTCGCAATACCGGTCTTTATTGAGAGGTTATCCAGTATGTAATCCTTAAACAGCGTAATTTTAACAGTTGAATATATTTTTACATTATGTTTGTTTTTATCTTTTCATATTTGAAAAAAATGTGTGCTCTTTACATTATCACCATGTTTACAAAGACTGGTCGTTATTGACAGGTTATACAGTATGTCATAATAATTGAGGTTTCTTCACAGCTATCTTATAGTTATATTTAATGTACAGTATGTATGCTTTACCTTTTAATGTTTGAATCTTGTCTTTTTATTAAATGACCACTTGTCAATAAAGGCCATATTTATATTTCCTAAAGAATGGTCTTTACTAAGAGGTTTTATAGTATAAGTACGATGACGGAGGACTCCTTAAAACAGTTTCATTGAAACATTTGAAAGTGAATTAGGTTTTTTTAACTATTTTTTACTGAATGTTGTGTTCTTTCATTAAATGACCACTTGTCAATAGATTTCGTATTTTGCAACACTGGTCTGTATTGAAAAGTTATCCAGTATGTAGCCCATAAACAGTGGAATTGTAATAGGAATATATTTCTACATTATTTTTGTTTCCATCTTTTCGTATTTGAAAAAATGTGTGGTCTTTACATTATCACCATGTTTACAAAGACTGGCCTTTATTGACAGGTTATACAGTATGTCATAATAATTGAGGTTTCTTCACAGCCATCTTATGGTTATATTTAATGTACAGTATGTATGCTTTAACTTCTTATGTTTTAATCTTGTCTTATTATTAAATGACAACTTATCAATATAGACCAGATTTATATTTCCTAAAGCATGGTTTTTACTGAGAGGTTTTATCGTATAGCACGATGACCCCGTAAACAGTTTCAATAAAACATTTAAAAGTGAATTGTGTCTTTCTTTGACTGCATGTTATGTTCTTTCATTAAATGACCACATGTCAATATATTTTGTATTTTGCAAGACCGGTCTTTATTGAGAGGTTATGCTGTATGTCATTCTTCCACAGATTCATTGTAGCATTTAAATATACTTTAATATACATTATGTTTGTTTTCATCTTTTCTTATTTGAAAAATGTGTGCTCTTTACATTATCACTTGCCAATACAGTCCATGTTTACCAAGACAGGTTATACAGTATGTCATAATGTAAGAGGTTTCTTCAAAGCTATCGCATAAGTTCATATCTGTTTCAAACTAAATCGTTACACACTTTTGATATTTCTATTACACAGCTTAGCATTCTTAATTCTAAAAAAGACCAACACCATCTATTTTTTTGTATTTTATTCATAATATTGTAATCAAATAACACATTTTAGCACAGCAGTAACAACAAGTTTACACAACAACAAAATAATATATGAAAAGCACTAAAAAGGCACATTGTATTCTGTATTATCAATCACATCTGGACAACTCACAAACCACGCTGGTCCACACTCCGGCAGCCCTATCTTGGAACGTTTGCCCACTTGTTGCTGATGATGAAGTGTTAATATTCATCTGTACATTATCGTCTGCTTCTAAACTGGACTTGATCGCTGATGCTGTCTTTTGTACCTGAAATGATTAACAATTGAAAATAAAATGATTTATTCGAACGGTGAAATGATGAGGCTTTTATGTAATGCAGTTTTACATGACTATCTAATGTTATTTTTAAATAGGCAAAATATAATTAAGTTAGTACTGATAATTCGATCTGAAATTTATTAATAGTTGAATATGAACATATATGAAATCTGCTAACGAAAAACGACAAACGTAAGTACTACAGGTATAGTTCTTTCGAATACTTTAAGCGTTATATCTGTTTAACATACCTCAGTCCATTTTCTGCTGGAATACTGCTTGTACATGTGACACACTCCTTCGTTGACAGACAAACGGAGAAGTAGACGAAGATGATGAGACTGATTATCTTCTATGACTGACATCATACTCTGCTGGTCCACATTGGCTATAGCATTCTCTGAAAAAAAAGAATAAGAATAGAGTTTGAGAGCTGTTCTGCATTTATATGTAATGTAGTATATGCAATATTTAGCTTAATGTACAAGATGAAAATGAATATTTGTAGTTTCTTTCATTATTAATTCTAACAATTTTTAACTTCAGAACGCTTTATAATGATAAGAGCTACATGTAAATGTAATGAGTATTGTTCTTACCAAGTTTGATACAGTCATATCACTGTTGTGAAGAGCCACCAACTTGTTGCGAAGACAACACGCTGCTGAGATAATGTCCATGCTGATTTATTTGTAGGCAGATGAAGTCTATTATATATTATAAGACTATGAATTTTGTGTATTAAGGTAATGACCTGGCTTGGTATAATTTTGCTCAGTGTATATTTTATGAGGTAAAAGGTTTTATGGCTTGGGTCTTGTGCCGTCTGGATATTTATACTGCAATGGTCCATTGTTTTACAGTTTGCATTTTAATTGTTTCGTTAATTTACTTTAATAAGTTGAACACTGCTTATTGCAGAGAGATATTTTTCTTTTGATCACATGTACATAAAAGGAAGATCAAACAAAGTTAATGGCCATTTAAAATCAATCATCATTTAATTGTTTGATAATTGGATTTTTATTAATAATAATTAAAGGCTTTAATTGCGTATTTCTAATTAATTAGTTAATCAGCAAAGTAATTAGTCGAATTAAAACGATTACCAAAAATGATTGCTTAATTCAAATTTAAAATTATACTGAAAACATATTCGTTGTTACTGCGTTTTGTTGCTTAAGTTTATCTGCATTTATTGTGAACTCTTACTTTACAACCGGAACATAAATATTGTAAAATATTATTTTGTAAACCCTTATGTATTTTATTAATACCTGGGTGAATAAAGATATTTGAATTGAAGAAAGAATATTATGAATAACTAAATGCCAGTATTTCGAACAGTAGAACGAATTATAGTCCTCGGAAGACAATTTGTCAATAGAATCCATAATTATATTTCCTAAAATATCGTTTTTATTGGCAGGCTTTTACAGTACAGCTTGCTTAACGGGGGACGTCTTAAAACAGTTTCATTGAACTATTTGAATGTGAATTATATATCTTTTAACTATTATTTTAATGAGTGTTGTGTTCTTTCCTTGTATGACCAGTTTTCAATAGATAGGCCTTTATTGAGAGGTTTTACACTATGTTATGCCTGATGAAGCAGTCTTTAAACGGTAGTCGTAGCATGAATATTTCATTGTTGTTTTTTCACTCAACACATGTCAACTCTTATGACAGTTAACAGTAGTCAAATATTGTTTTTCACAGCATCTATGTTAATTTAATGACAGTAGTATGTTAACTCTTATGTTTGAATCTTGTCTTTTTATTAAATGACCACTTGTCAATACAGGCCATATTTTTCACGTCTGTTTCTAATTTTGATTTTTGAACTATTATTGTCAAAACTATTATCATTTGTTTAGCTATGCCATAAATGTCATTTTTGAAATATAAAACATCAGCTTTTTGAGACCACTTAAATTTTCATTATGTTTTCTTTCTTTTCTTTTTCTTTTTTATTTTCATGGCAAGTATTGAAAAGTTTGGCTGTATTAAAAATGTTGATCTACATAACTGCTACCAGAGGTTTAACGATGTTAAAATGTTAACTCCGACTACTACAGATGTCACTCCCAAACTAAGGTTTATATAATCATTGCAACTATATGTCACTGATGAGAATTTGTTCAAAAGTTAGGGCACTTCTTTTACTGATTGGTCATAGTAACTGATGAGGCATGTCATTCTTAAACATATTCATTGTAGCATTTAAATATACTTTAATATACATTATGTTTGTTTTCATCTTTTCTTATCTGATGAAGCAGTCTTTAAACAGCGTAGTCGTAGCATTTAATGACCACTTGTTTATAAAGACCATATTTATATTTCCTAAAGAATGGTTTTTAATGAGAGGTTTTATAGTAAAGCACGATCGCAGTCTCTTTGAAACATTTAAAAGTGAATTGTGTTTTTCTTTTAACTATCTTTTACTGAATGTTGTGTTCTTTCATTAAATGACCACTTGTCAATAGATTTCGTATTTCGCAATACCGGTCTTTATTGAGAGGTTATCCAGTATGTAGTCCTTAAACAGCGTAATTTTAACAGTTGAATATATTTTTACATTATGTTTGTTTTTATCTTTTCATATTTGAAAAAAATCTGTGCTCTTTACATTATCACCATGTTTACAAAGACTGGCCTTTATTGACAGGTTATACAGTATGTCATAATAATTGAGGTTTCTTCACAGCCATCTTATGGTTATATTTAATGTACAGTATGTATGCTTTAACTTCTTATGTTTGAATCTTGTCTTTTTATTAAATGATCACTTGTCAATAAAGGCCACATTTATATTTCCTATAGAATGGTCTTTACTAA